GTGTCTGAGTCTGCGTGTCTGTGTGTCTGCATGTCTGTGCCTGTGTCTGTGTGTTTGCACGTCTGTCTGCGCGTCTGTGTGTCTGCGCGCCTGTCTGTCTGTGCGAATCTGTGAGTCTGTGTGTCTGTGCCTATGTCTGTGTGTGCCTGTGTCTGTGTGTGTCTGCATGTTTGTGTGTGTCTCTGTGTGTCCATATGTGTCTGTGCGTGTATCTGTGTGTGTCTGTGCGTGTGTCTGCGTGTCTCTGTGTGAACACACAGGTGTGGGGAGAGAGAAGACCGTGGCAGGTGTGGGCAGTGTGGAGCTGGATGGGGTACCTGGGAGTCTGCTCGCTCTTCTTCAGACTTCTCTGTCTGTTGGAAAGCGCTTCATTAAAATGGAAGAGGAAGATGGTGAAGACACAGTGTCACGTGTCCCAAGGAAGGTGCTGGCAGGGACTCCCTGGCCCATGCTGGGGGGGGATCTGTGGGCTGGACACGCTCCTCCTGGCCCACCAGGCCTTGCTGAAAAGCCCCAGGTAAGAGCAGGTGGGTGGGGTGGCTCAGGCGCGAAGTGCTGCTGTGGTCCTGCGTCCTGTCTGTGCTGTGCTAAGCCGTGAGACCGTGGGGGCCAGCTGACCTTGAGCTGGTTTCCCACCACAGCCCAACCTGGAGCATGGGGTGCAGCCTGGGAGGGGGGCTCTGGGCATAGCCCTGCCAGGGGAAGGAAGGGGCTGAAGCTCCCTTCATGGGCTGCTTCGCTCTGGCCAGAGCCTGGAACCTGAGTCCTGGCTCTGTTGCCCAGGGGCTGCACAAGAGTCCACTAGTCCTCACCTCCAGGGATGAAGCCCTGATGAGTGGCCATGCCCCCCAGCAGAGCGCGGCTCAGGAAGGCAGGCATGCTCACAGCTGACTCACTGCTGCTGTCCAGGGCTGCAGTGCCGGGGCCTCTGCGGAACAGCAGGGGGTTCTGCCCACTGCTGCACCAGGACCTTTTTCTTCGTTTTTGATTTGGGTTTTTGTACTGGGGATTGGACCCAGGGGTGGACCACCTCGTCCTCCTGCCTCAGCCTCCCTGGTGGCCAGGGTCGCAGACATGGCCACGCACTGGCGCAGCAGTGTCCTTTTCAGAGTCTAGTCTTGTCAGCCTCCCCTCTGAGGGGCCTGTCCCCTCCAGATCTGTCCCTCTGCCTGTCAGAAGGGGCTGACAGTGTCTGCCACACCTACCTCCGATCTGGCTTTCAGATATCGAACCCTTGGAAAAAATCATTTTAAATACAAATGAAGAGTCTCTTAGCCAAAGAGTCTGAGTACATGATGAAGTTCCAACTCCTGTCCCCCTGATGGGCCCTCTCACCTGCTCAGTCTCAGCATGGGCCAGGCCATGTGTGGCCTGAGGACAGAGATGGCTGCCAGAGTCCAGGTCTCTCCTGAGGGACATCTTTCCCAGTAACCTCAGCCCTCTCTGTCCCTAGTCCCAGCTTCTGCTCATCCCCATGTCCCCCCGTCCTGGATTTGGGTGAGAACGGTCACATTCAGGACCCACTCCTGCCTGAGAGTCATCCCACACTGCCATTAGGAGGAAAGGCATTGACCCCCAGGCACCCAGTGCATGGGTGGGGCTCCCCGGGCACAAGTGCTGCTGGCATGGCACGCAGTGTTCCTCATGTGCCTTGGAGAAACTGAGAGATCATCACCTGAACCGCGAGCCACCACTTCGGAAATACCAGAGGAAAGCCACGTCCCAGGATGAACAGGGCCTTGCTGTGCTGAGGGCAGATAGCACTTTGTTTTCCCAGGAAACGGGAGCAACGTTAGAAAAGCCACAAAGGACAGACTTTAGGAGTGCTCTTTAGGAAGTGGAAACGCGGAAGCTCCAACAAAGGTTGAGCACATAAATGAGGACACTCGGGCTGGGGATGTGGCTCAAGCGGTAGCGCGGTCGCCTGGCATGTGTGCAGCCCAGGTTCGATCCGCAGCAGCACCACATACAAACAGGGATGTTGTGTCGGCCGAAAACTAAAGAGTAAATATTAAAATTTCTTTAAAAAAAATAAATAGGGCTGGGGATGTGGCTTAAGCGGTAACGTGCTCGCCTGGCATGCGTGCGGCCCAGGTTCGATCCTCAGCACCACATACAAACAAAGATGTTGTGTCCACCGAAAACTAAAAAATAAATATTAAAAAATAAATAAATAAATAAATAAATAAATGAGGACACTCGCATCACGGAGACGGAGGTGAATGGAGGAGACGCAGGTACAGAGAAAGTAGGCAGGAGGCAGAGATGACAGGCAGGTCATAGAGAGATGATTGACAGGTGGTAGGTAAATACTGGTACAGACAGAGGTAGAGAGGTGATTGACAGGTGGTAGGTAGACACAGGTACAGACAGAGGTAGAGAGATGATTGACAGGTGGTAGGTAAATACTGGTACAGACAGAGGTAGAGAGGTGATTGACAGGTGGTAGGTAGATACAGGTTAGACAGAGGTAGAGAGATGATTGACAGGTGGTAGGTAGATACAGGTACAGACAGAGGTAGAGAGATGATTGACAGGTGGTAGGTAGATACAGGTACAGACAGAGGTAGAGAGATGATTGACAGGTGGTAGGTAGATACAGGTCAGACAGAGGTAGAGAGATGATTGACAGGATGTAGATAGATACTGGTACAGACAGAGGTAGAGAGATGATTGACAGGTGGTAGGTAGATACAGGTACAGACAGAGGTAGAGAGATGATTGACAGGTGGTAGGTAGATACTGGTACAGACAGAGGTAGAGAGATGATTGACAGGTGGTAGGTAGATACAGGTCAGACAGAGGTAGAGAGATGATTGACAGGTGGTAGGTAGATACTGGTACAGACAGAGGTAGAGAGATGATTGACAGGTGGTAGGTAGATACAGGTCAGACAGAGGTAGAGAGACGGGAGGCAGGGCGTAGATGATTGATACAGGTACAGAGGCAGACAGATGGGAGGTAGGTATGTAGAAGATGATCAATAGGTAATAGGTATAGGTAGTTTTGGACAGATGACAGGTAGATAGGAGGTAGATAGGTAATTGAAAGACGATAGGTAAACAGGATAAGAAACTTAGGAAATATTAAAATAAACTCAAGGGCTGGGGTTGTGGCTCCGTGGTAGAGCGCTTGTCTCATATGTGTGAGGCCCTCGGTTTGATTCTCAGTGCCTCATATAAATAAATGAATAAAATAAAGGTCCATCAACATCTAAAAAAGAAAAACTCAGTTTAGCTGGGTGAGGTGGCACACGCCTGTGATCTCAGCAGCCTGGGAGGCTGAGGCAGGAGGATCAGGAGTTCAAAGCCAGCCTCAGCAACTTAGTGAGGACCTAAGCAACTTTGGGAGACCCTGTCTCTAAATAAAATACAAAAAAGTGGGCTGGGGATGTAGCTCCGTGGTAGAGCACTTGCCTCACACATGTGAGACACTGGGTTCAATGCTCAGCACCACATAAAAATAAACAAATAAAGATACTGTGTCCATCTACAACTAAAAAATATGAAAAAATAATAATAAGAGCTGGAGTTGTGGCTCAGAGGTGGAGCGCTTGCCTTGCACGTGTAAGGCACTGGGTTCGATTCTCAGCACCCATATGCATGAATGGATAAAATAAAGGTCCATGAACAACTAAAAGAAAATTAAAAAAATAATAAAATAAAGTACTGGGGATGTGGCTCAGTTGTTAAATGCCCCTGGGTTCCACCCCTGGTGTAGAAGGGAAAAAAATAACCCAACAACCTCTCAGCTTAGCAGGGTCTCTGGTGCCTGCCTGTAATCCCAGATATGCAGGAGTAAGGCAGGAGGATGGCGAGTTCAAGGCCAGCCTGACAACTTAGTGAGACTCTGTCTCAAAATAAAATATGTGGCTCAGAGGTGGAGCGCTTGCCTCGCACATGGAGTCACTGGGTCACACTTCAGCACCACATGAAAAGGAAACAAGTAAAATAAAGATATTGTGTCCGTCTAAAAAGTTAGTGGAAAACCCAGAGCAAACTGTCATGCCTGGTGCACGCCCGTCGTGGAGAGAGACCACGCGTGCTATTGGGCAGGCACAGGGACCCAAGCAGCCTCCCACTTGCCCGTCAGCAGCAGCCGGCCTGCAGCCAGCTGTGTGCACCTCTTGCCTTATAATAAAAACCAAGCCAGTGAGCGCTCAGTTTCTAAAAATTGGGAAGACACGGTACGCACCTCCCTGCTGTCTGTGGCTTTACGTCTCAAGGTCTGCATTTACTCCTTAAAGGAGGACGACACTGGAAAAACGTGCTGTGGTGTTTGAGGATCTTATCTAGCCTAACATTCCAACGTGGGATCAGCTTTTAAGCAGACTGCTTTCTGACCTCACCACAGGTTGGTCTCCCTTGTGCGCCCTCGTCCTGACAGCTGTCCTCTGCTGGAGGTGAGGGGGAAGGCCCCTGTAGAGGCGAGACCTGCCTTTCTGACTGACTGAAAGCACACCAGTCCCAGCCCCCATTCAGAAACAGCCTGTGCAGACAGGGCTGCTGCCCAGTGTGGTCTCACAGGCTCCTTGACCACGCCTATGCTCCTCTGGGATGTGCGAGCCGGGCCACTGCTGAGAAGCCACCCCAGCCCTAGTAGGGCCCTCCACCAGGGCGCAGGGAGGGCCAGATGCCTGGAGCCAGATGCAACTCCAGGAAGCCCTGTAGCCCCCTGAGCCTGGGAGGCGGGGCCCTCACCAGTAGCCACTGTCCAGATGTCTGCTGGACATACAGCCTGGGGACACCACGTACTGTCCAAACTACCCACAGAAGGAGACAGTGCCCACAGCCCAGGTTGCCCTCTGGGCTTGGCCACCTTCCTGCACGGCGAGCTCCCCGCCCTGGTGCTCTGCAGCGCGGTCGGCACCCTGGCCGGTGCGCACCCCGAGGGGCAGCTCTCCTCAGAGACAAGCGCCTCAAGCCAAGGACAGCACGGCCACCAAGACAGGCCCGGCCAAGGGCCGAGCTCAGCCCACCACCGAGCGCTGCTCTACTCACACCTGATGCTGCTTGGAGAAAGTCACATCCAGGGTCACCTCAGCAACAGGAGCAAGTGTCCCCTCAGGCCCCAGCAGTGCCCGGCGACCCCCCAGGGAGCAGGGCTGCAGGGGCTGGGGACCTTCTGTGGGAAGCCTGGCAGGCAGACCCACCGAGGGCACTGCTCCCTGGCCCTCTCGGCCACGTGTTCCCAGAGGCACTGACCTCAGAGGCCCAGTGCGGCTACGCACTTGGCTGGGGAGGTGAGGCAAGAGCTTCTGCCACCAGAAGGCGCCCAGAGCCCGGAGGCCCCACCGTGAGGACACGGAGCCTCTGTCTGCCTGGGGAGGTGACTCTCCAGGAGCCTGAGGTGGTGCAGGTGTGCAGCCATCAAACAAGTGTCCAGCAGTAGAAAGGAAAAGCTGTTCTCAGATGGAGCACCACTGCATACACTGTGTTGGCATGAGGGAGCAGACGGTACTGTCTGGGCAGCAGAATAAACACCAGCTGTCCAGGGCACGCAGGGGACACTGTATTGGAGGTGCCCGTGCAGCAGGCTGAGCCACATCAGCAGTGCTCTGGGTGAGCAGGGTGTGGGAGCCACCTCCAGATGGGCAACATGTGGCAGGTGGCAGGTGGACACTGTAGCTGCAGGGGAAGCAGGTGTGGGCCACCCTCCCGCTGGGGGGCTACTTGCTGCTGGGCCCGGGAGGCAGTGGCAGAAGGGTTACTTGTCCTCCGTGGACAGGCGGTGCAGGGCGGCGCCCACGCTCTCCAGCCTGGGCTTGTGCTCCAGCTCCTGGTACAAGCCCCTGGGCACCGCGTCCAGCCCGTGCAGCAGTCCGAACAGGCAGCCGGCGATGGCCCCGGTGGCCCCACTTTCACCTGGAAGGGCACACGCAGGTGTGTCACTACCCAGGCCCTGCTCCTCCCAGGGCCCTCCTTCAGGAGTGGACAAGGTTCTGGTCCCACACAGAGCTTTCTGCTCTGGCCACCCCCATCACAGAGAGGTGCATTTGCCATGAGGCTGGGTTGGGGGGACCACAGGGGCAAGGACCCCTTGAGGTGGGCCCCTGTGGGCCACTTCCTCTCTGGCTCTGCCGGATGCCCTGGCCCAAGCTGGCCCCCTCGGCCTTGCCTGGCACCGCAGCACTCCTCCCCCTTCACCCACCCCCAGCTGCCCACTCTGGTGCTGCAGACACGAGCCCAGAGGACACTCGGCCTGCACTCAGTCCCCGGGCAGCAGTGGTTCCTTCTGTCTGCACAGCGGCTCAGCCCAGCCCTCAGGGCTCTGCGGGCGACTCTCGCCTGTCCCCACAGCCCCTGCTTCTCCTGGGCTGGGTGCCCAGCTGGGTCCTGGCTCCTCTGGAGCCCACAGGCCAGGCAGCACCGGCTCCTCCGCAGTGGGAGAAAGCGTGCCCAGCCCCAGGGCAACACAGTGAGCGTGGAAGTCCCTGCCAGGACGGGGAGGGGCCCGTGTCTTTCTCCTTGGGGTCACAACACAGTCCCAGGTATGGGTGCTGTCTGGAGAAATGGAGCAAGCTCCTCTGGCCAGGGCCTGACCGCCCAGCGCAGGCCAGGGCTGCACAGAGCTGCAGAGGCACAGGACGGCAGAGCCTCAGGTGGGCCCGAACACAGCCTGCAGCTCTGAAACCAGCAGCAGCAAGAGGGGCCCGACACGCCGGCCATAGCCCTCCTGACAGCGGCCGCCCCAGAGCAGGCGCCTGTGGCCTCTGTTCTTGCCGGTGTGCAGGTGGCAGAGGCCTCCCGAGGGGCCCCACGGTGGGCCCAGTATCTATGGCCTTGGGGCTCCTGCGAAGGCCCAGCCGGGGGCTCACCTCCGTGGAGCATGGCCCGCTGGCACAGCTCCGTCCAGCTGCTGCCTGCCGCGAGGAGGGCGTCGTAGGCTATCATGGGGGCATCGTGGCCTCGCCGTCCCCCTCGGCCTTCCGAGCTCCACTTCTTGTAGGTCTGAAGAGGGCCGTGGTTGGGGCATGAGCACAGGTGGAACCGTCAACGCCTCCCTCCCACCGGCAGCCACCCGCCCACCAGCTGCTGTGCCCTGCTGGGTGCAGCCACCATGAGGTGCGTCCCAGCAGGGGCAGGACTTGCCTTGTCCCTCTCCTCCGCATCATAGTTCTCGGGAAAGGTGGCTTCATTTCCCGAGTCCTCACTGATCTTTCTCTCCTCCAAGTAAAACTGCCACTTAGCTTCAAAGTAGAACCAGTGCTCCTGGTACTCTAGACAGAAGCACAGGTGAGAGGCCACTGGCCGTGGGCAGGAGGAGGGAGCGGCGTGCCCTCCCAGGAGCAGGTGTGTGGACAGGGACTTCCTGCCCTGAGAGCTGGGAACAGGCGGCAGCTGCCGAGCTCCTGAGGGTCCCCTCTCCAGGTTCTGGGCCTGCACCGTGTAGGACTTAGCTAGTGCTGCCTGGGAGCCCTCCGGGAAAACTAGCCCCAGGTGTGTTGGGCAACTTTGGTCAGTTTGGTGAGGAGGACACTGTCTTGGCCAAGACCCCCAGCTGCACACATCAGAGACCACACAGGGCCACTTCTAGAGCTCAGAGGGGCCGCAGGCAGAAGACCCTGAGGCTCTGCCCCTTCCCCTGCTGCTCCAGGCCAGAGCCTGTCTAGCCACCTCAGTCCCCTCCTCGTGGCTGGAGGCCCCCAGGACACCAGCCATGTTGGCCCTTAGGGACTGCTAAGGCTCACGGACACTACTGGGGTGGACACAGACCCTTTGCCTGTCCAGAAATGGGGAGCAGAGCAGAGATGGAGAAACCCCTCCTGCCACCCTCCTGGCCGCAGGACAGGTCCTTGGTCAGCACCTGGGAAGGAACAGCAAACACATGGGCATAGACCAGCAGAGCCCTTCCACCTCCAGCTATAAAGCCAGGGGACATCTCTGGTGAGCCTTGCAGAACTTAGTTCTCTGCAGTGACATTGGGGCCTGTTGGGTTCTTGTCAAAGAAACCATAAATGTCGGGTCAAGCAGGCTTACGGTCAGACCCACAGGCCTGTTTCTGGACCGTCAGTACCCACAAGAAAGAGGTGTCCAAACCACCTGGCTGATCCCTGTGCCCTGGAGCCTCAGGGTGTGGGTGGGCCTGCCGCAGTCTGGCTGGGCACAAAATCACGAGCCACTCACACCTTGTAGATTCAAACAGCAACTCTTCATTCTAGAACTCACCCCGGCACTCTACAATCACGTTCTGGGGAAATCCACCCACTCCACTGGGCTCTGAATCCCAAATACTCTCTGAATCCCGCGAGAACTCAAGGAGTGGGGGCGCCTGAGGCAGCAGGATACGCCCTATTCCCAGCAGGGTACACCTTAAACCTGGAACCGCCCTAAACCCAAGGAGAGGGATACTCCCTAATCCCAGCAGGATACACCCTAAACCTGGATCCGCCCTGGTCCTTGAGCAAGGTCACCTTACATGCAATGTCACTGCAAATGACCTGGGTCATGCCATGCGTCATACCTACTTGGCAATGGCTCTCAGCGTGGACCACTGTCCAGCACACGCAGAAGCCACTCTGGGCAGCAGAGTGGGGGGCACTGCCAGGAAGGGCAGAGGCAGGGCTGCAGGGCCGCACACTGAAAGGGGTCAGCTCGTGCCCACTGCACAAGGGAGCCCACCCATGGACAAGGCCCAGCTGTGTTGCCCTGCACAGGGGACAGCAGAGCTGCTGGAGATAAAGGAGCTGAGAACCACGTCTGAAGCCACAGAAGCAGAACTAGCCGTGGCACTGGCCACGTGCCTGCAACTGCCCTAGAGTCGGGCTCACTGGAGCCAAGCCACACAGAGGGTGCCTCACAACTGAGGGAGGTGGGCACAGAGCCTTGCCACTGCCGGAGCTGACCATCCCGCAGGGCCCTGGCACACACTCAGCTCTCCTCTCCTCTCCCTCAGGGCCCCTGGCCCCATGCACTCCCCTCCCCTCCCCTCCCCTCCTCTTCTCTCTTCCCCTTTCCCCCGGGCACCATGCTCTCCCTCCTCTCCTCTCTTTCTGGACACATCAGAAAGCTTCCTCAACTTGTGGGAATGTCAAAGGATCCCCTGGGCTGCCTCACCTGGCCCCTGTCCCTCTCAGAGCCAAGGACCTCTCCCCTGCCCTGGGCTCCTGAGTCAGCCACCTGGGGAGAGCTGTACTCTTCCTAAGCAGCATTTCAGAACTCCTAAGCAGAGCTTGCTTTGATGCCACCCACCCAAGTCATTGGAAACATGGGACTCCTGGTGACCTATTATTGACATGCTTATGAATATGGCCCTTGTGCCCTCGAATGGTGAATGGGCACAGATGGGAACTCTGGGAACAAATGTCCTCAAAAGTCATGGATCACTGTGGGCTTGGTGGCAGGGGTGCACACCTTCCCAGCTGGGTGGAAACTGGGTCTTGGGTCAGGCTGGGGTGCTGACCCGGCTCCTGGCTCCCCAGACGAAAAGCTTCACTTCATTGCACTAGACACTCATGTCAGCTTGGGCATTCCAGCATAAGCCCAGCTCCTCTCTGCCATTGCAACGAGAGGCGAGGGTGAGGTGGAGCCTGCAGAGACGGCGGGTGTGGCCTGGCCTGGCTCTCCTGGAGCACCACACCACTCTGAGCAGCTGTGTGGCTGCCAGGTGCAGCCCACCTCACTCCTTCTCTGTGAGGTCAGCTCTGCCTGCGCTGACTAGAGGGCATTCTCCGGCCTGCCTTGCAGGAATGCCCCTGGAGCGGGGGAGCCCCAGAGGAGCTGCTGTGGAAAGCCAGTGCTCACCTGCCATGTGCCGGATGGTCTTCCTGCAGTACTCCTCAGCCAGCGGGACCACCTGCAGCATGTCCCGCCCCCACTGCACCAGCGGCTTTCCTTGTACTGCATAAGAGGCAAACAGGGCCGTGCACAGGGAGCCGAGGAAGCCTGCGGGAGGGAAGAGAGCCCGCTGTGGCCGGCCCTCAGGTCCTGGTCTCTGAGCAGACCTGGCCTATAGCCTGTGCACCTGCCTTGAGCTGTGAGCGGAGGGTGGCTCTGTTGATGAGCTGACCCTGCCACTTACTCCAGGCCCAGCAGAGGGGGTCCTGATCTGCCCTCCATGAGGACAATCTTGGACAATGTTGTACAGTCCAGAAGTTCCAGAAAGTTCTGGCCTCCCTGTGCCATCTGTGGGACCCTGTGTTCAGGGTGACATTATCAACTCAGTTCATCCTTGCACTCCCAGAGCCTGGCTCTGAATGATGGCCCTGGGGGTGTGGCCTGTGCCATTACCAGTGTGCCTGCTGTGCAGACCAGGAGATGAAGCTCAGGAAGTGGGGCCCCTTGCTCCAGGTCACCAAGCTGCAGAACCAGGTCTGTCTGAACCCACCCAGACCAACTGCAAGTATTCCCTGGGTCATTTCACAGTGCCACTGCCGCCATCATCCTGTGACAGGTGAGGCAGGGCTAGGTTGGCCTCACCCTGGTCAGTGTCCAGTTCCCCTGACCGTGCCATCCCCCAATGCTGCCTCCGTGCAGAGTCGCACCACAGGGCACCTCTCTTTTTTCTCTTTGGACTAACACGGACAAACCCAGAATCAGTGGGAGTCTTTCCCCTGCCCAACCTCCCACCATCATGGGTCTGGCACTGATTCTGCCTTCACATGGGAAAGAGACTTAGGCAAGATGAAGAAATGGCCCAATTCCTCCAAAACAGCCAATGGGAAGGTCAGCCCGGCCTCCCGAGATTTCCAGTCCAAGAGGCAGGGAGATCACAGGAGCCAGCCAGCTTGAGTGCTGCCACGTCTCAAGGCCGGGGCTCCCTCAGCAGGCAGGCCTGCACCTGTCTGGCGCCAGCATTACCTGTGGGATGGTTGTGGGTCATTCTGCCGCACTCAATGCTGACTTCGATCAGAGTCCCCAGCCGCTCCGGCTTCCAGTACCGCATGCCGATGCACATGGCTTTTGTGGCAGCTCCAAATCCTGAGCCTATGTGGAGATGAGCACCCTGTGTCAGACTCTTTCTCCAATAAGCCCACCTCTGGCAATCTAGCAGCACAAATCATTTCTAAAGTATAAAACCTCATGTAATAGCACATTCATCAGAATGTCATTTGGGATTATTTTTATTAGATAATTTCTCAACTCACGGATTTTAAATTGTCGACCTGCTCGTGTCTATTAGTTAAACTTTGTAAAACATACTTGTTTTTCCACTGTATGCAAACTGAAAAAAAAAAGATATACAATTTCTCTGTTGTATGTTGGATTATGTAGGAAAACTCTGTGAACAATTTTAAAGAATAAAAAAACCAAATTCCTGTTGGGGGGATGTCATTTGGGTGAGTGAACAATGGCAAGCCACTCTGAAGATTGCTATCAGGTGCATGAAGGCCTAGGTGGTGTGCCCTCCTGATGAACCAAGGCCCATGAGGCGGACCAAGTTGATTCTGTGTTCCTGGCAATGTACTTTGCTCCAAAAGTTATTGCATATGTCATTAATACAGTTGACCCAGCTCTTGTGTCTGTCAACAGACATTTAAAGGAAGTGGACATTTTCTGTTCCATAACTCCCATCTTTACAGTTCTGGATGTCCAAGAGCTGGTCACAGGTACCCCTTTGGCTCTGGTGTGAGCCTTCTGGCTAAAGCAATCCCTTGAGAGAGAAAGTGAGGAGCTTCAGGAGTCGCATAGTAGCTGCACTGGCCCTTGACCAGGGCAGGCCCCTAGCACTCCAGGCCTCTGTCCACCCTGCTGGACGGAGCACCAAGGCTCCACCTGGTTTGGACAGGAACAGACACTGCCACACCACAGCAAGGTGCAGTAGCTTTGTGCTTTGAGGCTTCACCCAGGGGGGAGAACTATCTCCAACTGCCTCCTTCCGTCTTCTGAACGGATGTGGCAGGAACTCCTTCTTACTTTCCAACCACACACAGAGTGCACTGACCTGAGCTCAGGTCTGCTTTACATCCACCTAAGGGGCACACGGCACATGGGAGACATGGAACAAGACCAGCTGGAGACAGTGAGGACCGTGATGGGGAGAGGCTCCTCCCAACCCCTGCGCTGCCCCTGCATAGGACTGCACCCAGGTTGATGGTGAGGCTGGCCTGCAGAACCCTAAATGTGGGCCAGCATTCATTATAGTTTTCTCTCTACTCTTGCACACACTAGAATTTTCCAAAATGAAAATTATGTGATAAACATGCAGATAAGAAGTTGAGATATCATCGCAGTAGGAAACTGGAGTAGCAGAGAGGCTCTGGGTCGGAGCTGCAGTCCAAGAAGGTGAACAGCTCCTGAGGCTGACTGGAGTCACACTTGGAGAGCTCAGAGCATGTTCACCTGCTCGAGCTGCAAAGACACCACCAAGTCAGCTTCCGACCTCAGGGTTCCCAGCCCGAGGCAAGAGGTCATGGGAAGGCCACTGACAGTCAAGTCACAGGCAAGGCTTCCGTTGGTCCTTCCCATTAGAGTGGACAGAGGTGGCACAGGAAGTCTAAAGAGAGGCTGTGCTGTGGCTCAGTGGCAGAGCACTTGCCTAGCACATGTGGGGCACTGGGCTCGATCTTCAGCACCACATAAAGGTAAATAAATAAATAAAGGTATTGTGTCCATCTACAACTAAAAAAAAATGTCTAAAGAGAAATGTTGGCTATAAGCTGTCAGAGACCTGTTCAATGTCACAAAGTGGTATCAGAACTTAGATTAGAAGCCAAGTCAGTTGATTGTGTGTTCTTAAAAAATAAAAATATTCAAATTAGTTCTTTTAAAAAAATATTTTTTAGTTGTAGTTGGACACAATGCCTTGGTTATTCATTCACTTATATGTGGTGCTGAGGTCGAACCAGTGCCTCGCAGGTTAGGCGAGCCCCACAGCTGAGCCCCAGCCCGGCCCAGCCAGTTCTTCACAGTAAGAGTCGTGCGTTCACAAGGTAAAGAACAAGAACCCAAGTGTTTGAGACAAAAGCCGATTTAAAGCCCAGAACCCCCTTGGCCTTGCTCTGTCTCCATGGACAAGTGCTTCTTTTCCCTTAGAGAAGTTTCTTGGGCAGATGCGCCCGTGACCTCTCCCTGCCCCGTCCTTCCCATAAACACCGCGCAGGGCAGCGGGGCAGCGGGGCAGCGGCAGAGCACTGCCGGGAGCCTGGGCCGACGCCCACAGGCGCCAACTCCCGCGGCCTTTCCAGGCTTCTGCTCCCACAAGGGCTGCGGAGGGCACCCCGCACCCTTGCTTTCCTGGACGGTCACTATGGGTCCTTTACACCTCTGGAGGGAGGACTGCCAGATCGGGGGGTGTCCGTCACGTGACTCTGACAGATGATGCCAGAGTTCCTCTCAGGGGGCTGCCTCTACCCACGCAGCAGGAAGCTCTGTGTGCTCTCTCGCACCACACAGGTGCAGGCTTTCCTGGTTGTGGCCAGTCTGCACCCGCTCCAGCTGCCCCTTCCAGAGCACCGGGTCTTTCCTTGGCCACCCGGGGCTGCCGGAGCAGCTTGCCTGGCCCACCGGGGTTCTGTGCCTTCTCAGGGAGAACCTTTATGTCAGGGAGAGCCCCTGAAGACCGAGTCCAGGTGTGCAGCACACCCGTCACCACGACGGGTCGCGAGAGGGCAGGAGCAGAGGCTGGGCTGCCTACTGCACACCCCTGGGGCCCCCCGGCACCCCGGAACTGAGGAAGAACCCTCTGGGGAGCCATGCCTATGTGCAGATGCCCATGTGGGCCGCACAAGATCAGGGGCCAACCCCAGTGCCCGTGGTGAGGGCAGAGCCCATGTCTGTGGGCCTGGAGGGAGCTCTGGGGAATGGGGCAGACTCCCTGACCCTTTTCACTGAAGGGTGTGTGCCAGGCCAGGAGGTAGTTATCTGGCTTCAGCAGTGAGCAGCCCTCCACGGTGGCTGGGTCTTGCCGACGTTCCGGAAGCTTCTCGATGGCCTCCACATAGCATCTCACCATCTCACGGTACAGGTCATCCAGGCACCAGAAGTCTAGGGAGGAAGAAGGCAGATAGTGGTCACATGAACAGTGAGTGTGTGGAGTTGGGGCCGGCACCCGGGGAGGCAGAGATGGGGCCTGTCAGCCAGCCCGAGATGGAGGCGACTGACATGCAGACAGTCCTTGGGTCTCCCTGTGACCCAGGTGTCAAGGTGGTTGCCGTGCCTGTCCTGGGAGATCCCCACACCCTCATTCTCTGCTAACTGCTCTGTCCATGTGAGAGAAAAACTGAGCAGAATCCCCGCTCCTGGCCGCGAAGCCGCCGTCTCGGCCTATAGGAACCCTGTGCAGGGCCATGCTGTACCCATGTTTCCATAAAGCATATCCCGGGGACAAATATGGAGTCGAATCCCCCAAAGACCAGGGACACTGAGGGCACAAAGCCAGGCCCCATGGAGCTGTCCCCACTGAGCCTGGGCATGTGCATCTTAGACAGCAGGCAGATCCTACACATTGGGTCCTGTTTCCAGATAATATTCAGGGAGGCGATTCCTGTCCACGTCTGGAGCAGGTCAGTGGATTTCAGTTGCAAAGCTGAGTGTTTTGGCCACTAGGCTGATCCATAGTATGGTGGGCATCACCCCTGATGCCGGGGTCCAAGGTGCCTGACCACTCTGAGAGTGGGCTGAGTCAGGCAAGGCAGGGTGGGGTGCCCCAGCATCTTGTGCCACACCAGTGCTGCGCTGAGCTCTACACGGAGCTGCCATGGTGCTGTGAGCAGCGGTATTGCTCCCTCCTCCTTTGTGATGATGGGGCAGGAACGTGGAGGAGGGAAGAGATCGTAAGGGCAGTTGCCTGCCCACCCCTGGGAAGAACAGGGCCCGAAAACCCAGAAACCTCTCGTGGCTGGACCAAAGCCAATGCTGCGGAGCCAGGGCACAGAAGGCTGGAAGGGTCACTGACAGCTTGCGGCAGCCCAGTCCCCAAGCCCCCTGGACAATGGAGAGTCCTGGGATGCAATCCTGTGGCCCTTCCCTGGATGAGCCATCGGGCACCCAGCTCTGAGGCCCTGTATGGGTGCCACACCCCCAGGGAGGGGCCCACGTGGCAACCCTGCAGGAATAAGCCAGCCTTGGCCTGCCCGGCCACGCTGGGGGTGCTGGGCCCGTGGTTGTCCAGCTGTCGGTAAGCTGATAGAGTTCTGGTACAGTCGACAATGCTACCCCTTTGCAGACGGTCTGCTTTCCCTCCATACTGGCCAGCCAGCCTGGCCTTCTTGAGTCCTCTAAAGTAATTACTTTCATTCCAGAGTCAGATGCCACAAAATTTATGCATTTCACATCAGTTGCTTCCTGTAAAGCAAAATAAAATCCACAAAACCAAAATGGCAGTATGGGTGTGGTGCCACACCTGTAATCCCGCAACTCAGCAGGCTGAGGCAGGAGGATTGCAGTTGGAGGCCAACCTGGGCAACTCAACGAGACGCCACCTCAAAACAAAAGTCATAAAGGGGATGTGGCCCAGTAGTAGAGCACCCTGGGTTCAATCCCAGTACAAAAAAAAAGTGCAGGGAGGGGTGGGCCCCGCTTGGTGCAGAGCCCGAGCCTATGAGAGGGCCTGGGTTTGGCCCAGTACAGGGTCAAAGGCAGCAGAGAGCTTTTCAGCTGAGTCTGAGCTGGAAGCAGGCTCCTGGGCTGTAGACTGCTGTGCTATGGAGGCCCGTTAGTCCCCCTGGCATCCCCCTGGTCTCCTGAAGGACAGGCCAGTTAGGGAGACTGCCTGTTATGATGAGAGGTAGACAGCACCAGCATCCTTGAGGGCACTGCTGAGAGGAAAGGGCTGGGGTTGGCCAGGGACACACAGGCACTTTCTGGCAGCCCTCTGCCCAAGTAGCTGTGCTTGGCCTGGGCGTTGACAGTTCTGCTGACCATCAGAAGCACAAGGCCCAGATCAGCTGATGGAGCCTCCCAGTGCTTACCATGCTCCCCTGGGGTCTGTGGACTCCACGCTGCCCCAGGGCACCAGCTTCCTCAGCTCGGAAGAGGTGAGTGGGAATGTGGAGCGGAGAAGCTGGGCTTCAGGGCGAGCTCTTGGGGGACGAGCAGTCCCTGCGGCCTGGTACCTGAGCGTGGAGTGACAGGTGCTGCCCTGGGCACCGCGCTCTGGCTCCGCCCACTGCACTCGTGACGTGCCTGGTCAGCTTCTGCTCTATGCTGTGGGACACACCCAACTGGGTGATGCCCAGGCCACATGGCCACACATCTGGAGAACTCTGCTTGGCCTAGAGACATGTTCAAGAGCCACTGTGCATGGGGGTCATGCATGGCCTGCATGGCCACTGTGACCTTGGGGGGTCAGGAGAGCCTGTGCAAACAGCAAGGGCCAGACTGAGCTCTTAGCCCGCTGTCACTCGTGTGGCTGTGCAGCCTTTCTGCATGTCCGTCCCTCTCCTGCAGCACAGTGGCACTGGGCTCCCCTGTGGGGAATGAGGACCCCCACCCTGGGGTAAGTCCTGCAGGAAGCTGCACACCCGAGGGCAGAAACGCAGGTGTCATGTGCCTGGAAGCCCCCGACGGCAGGCTGCAGCCTGTTACTTAAGAACAAAACAGGTGGTGTGAGAACTGAGTGAGACTTCAACTCTGAGTGTCAGCGAGTTGAAAGAATGTGCTTGCTGCTGTTTCTAGAGGGGCAAGTGATAAGAGGGATCTTTGTGAGTCTCATGATCCAATCGGGAGGCCAGGACGGGCACCACACGAGGGTCACCTGCTGCCATGCCTGGCAGTCGCCACCCGTGGGGAACTGACCTCTAGCTCAGGAACAACGCCGCACCGTTTCCTACCCGTGCTTCATTCGGGTGGCTGTGTCCCAGGGATCCCAGGTGCTCTCCATAGTAACTGTACAGCCTGACAGGGGCCCAGGGCTCTGCACCCGCTGACGTGCTGGTCACGTGGGCCTGCGTGTGGCTGTGCCTTTGTGAGCACGGAGTGCCAGACCCCAGGGCAGAGCAGGTGCCGCTGTGTGCAGCCAGGATAGACCGTGCTGGGCTGGGCTCTGGCAGTCTGCAGGGCACCACAGCTCTGGGCTCAGGGCATGGTGCTGCTGCTGGTGAGGGCAGAGGGCACACACACCTGCTGAAGACAGAAGCAGGAAACACAGGCTCCAGAACTGTGGTGACACCACTCTCAGTAGGCTGTGGCTTCTTATCTTATTGACATGCTTCAGCCCTCTCACCAGCTATTTAGGGACGAGCGATGGCATTCCTACACAATGACCACAGAGCTAAACTGAGCGCGCTCACAGCCGGCAAGTGGAATGGCGACGAGAAGGCATAGAGGAAACCCATTGACTTAGAAGCCACCCTCAGACCTCAGCTTTGCCATGACAGACTGATAATACCTGCAGGACTGAAGCGCATGGGACCTGCAGGAGAGCTGCCCTTCTATGCACCACCGTCTCTCTGAAACTCATAAAATCTGCTTGGTCCTAAGATCAACCTGCTCCTGGTGGGGCAGTTTAAGAGACTGTCCCCCCAGATCCAGGCGACTCTGCAGTGTTCTCCAGAATACACGATGAACAAGCAACATCCAAGATGAACCACTCCGGCAGATCTTCAGCCTTAGTTCATTGGAATGGAGATGTAATCCCCAAAGGCTAGTGTATTAATGCTCCCAAGTTTTAAGCTGGTTTAATTTTACATTATGCACTAAATTAAGAACAAGAAGACTCAATTTCTAATGCAGTAGCAAGCCCTTGCTCTGCTCACACCAAAACAGCACTGAAGCGGAGGCTCTGGGGCCGCCCCTAGTGGAGACAGGGTGCTGGGTTTGACCAACAGTCTACCAGAAGCTGCTCTTCAATGCTGTATCTGGTTGTCTCTGAATGATCCTGTCACCCAGAGACACCATGAGAGAAAAGGACTTGGGCCTGAACTCCCGAGGGACCCTGGTGACTCCGCCTTCCAGGCCCAGCTCAGAGGCGCCCCTGTACCCCACCCCTGCCTGAGCAGTGCCCGAGTGCCCCAGGCCTCCCTACCTGTGGCAAGCGCCTCAGCGGTGGCCAAGTGCATGATGGTGTTGTCACTCACTGGCCACTTTCCGGGAGACAGCACCAGGTGGTCGAGTCCCCCGATCTTCTGCAGCTCCTCCTGGACGGAGCCCAAAGCGCTGTTCTCCCTGCAGACATTGGCGTAGCCCAGGGCGTCCCCCACGCTCCCCAGCAGCATTGCGGCTGTGAACTTCTCCATCTCAGAGGCGGCTCCACACACCCTGCTGCTGCCTTTGTCCTTCCCTGGCCGCCCTCAGCCCACTTGCTGACATTTATACTGGTCATTGTATCGCTGTCCAGCGCCTCTAAGTGGCCAGGCACTCCTTTCCTATCTCCGCAGGTGGCACCAATGGGAAAAACTTTGACCCGACCACGTGGGCGGCCTCAGCCTCTGCAGTGCCTGGCTGCAGGCACCAGGCCGGCTGTCGGCACCCTGGCTGGCTGCAGGCGTCCAGAGCAACTCTGGCACCTCCTGGAAGGAGCGTGCCCACCCAGGGGCGGGGCAGGGCGTGCGCCTGGGACCTGAGCCGGCGTGCCTCTCAGCATGGCTGCCCTAGAGCCTCTGGAGCCCACCTTGGCCCTCTGCTCTTCCCCAACCCCCCCCTGCGGTTTCTATAACTTTGTCTTTTCTAGAAATTTCAAACAAATGTATGTATCTCGCTATACACTAAAAGTTTCTAGAAATTTGTGGCCTTGTGTTCTCTGAATGTCACTCGTTAGTTTCATCCTTTAAAGAATGTTTCCAGATTATGAAATGTTGATAGAAAACTAAACGGTCACGGTGCTCGGGCTCCTCTTGGCAGATCAGGCACTACCTGGCCAACACCTGCAACTGGTCCAACAGGGCTCAAGGTGGGGACGGTGGCGGGGACGACACAGCGTGGCGTCTGGTTACTCCACCAGAGCTCAAGGTGACAACCTGTGCCTGCCTGCTGGGAGAAGGACACTCACAAGCATGGCCTACCACAAAGCTCCTGGCCTGAAGCACGCGACGGTGGCCCCAAGCGTCCCTCCTGCTCACACCCAGAAGCGAGGAGCCACCTGAACTTCAGAAACCTGGCAGGAACCTGAGTGCAGCAGGCCCCTGCGCTGTCCCAGGCACTCTGCACCACCAGCGCTTGCTGAACTGAGATGCTGGGGTGTTTTTCCAGGCAGCACAGTTTCCAGATTCTGAAATCCAAGTCCTTCAGAACCAGAAGGGGAGCAGGTTCCAGTGCAAACAGGACAGCATACCCACCAGGAGGGACAGTGCCTAGGCTGGGCTGCAGCGTGCTGGGCACACGCCTCACTGCTCAGAAAGGGTGGGAAGCTCTGCTGAGGGAGCTTGGGAATGATTTCCACACCATCTGCCTACGCCACAAGGAGCAAGGGGCAGGGCTCACATATGGCCTCTGTCCACTCAGTTACTCACAGAGCCCCAACTCTGCCAGTCGGGACGGGTAACCACAGAACTCACTTTTTTTTTTTTGTGGTGCTGAGGACTGAGCCAGGGCCTTGTGCATGTGAGGCAAGCTCTCCACCAACTGAGCCAGATCCCCAGCGCCTCGCTTCACTTTTGTCCTCAGGAAGCCTGAAAGGTGCACAGTTCTGGAACACACTGTCAGTGTGGGAGAGAGATGGTGCCTGTCCAATACCCCAGGGAGGAGCTAGTGCCGTGAGAGGGTCACTTTCAACTCAGCCGTGGCTTCGTGTGTTTGGGTCCACAATTCCCATGCCCTCCTCTGAGTGCTCTTTATTGAGTGTGGGCGGTAACTTCTCAGAAGCCGTGATTGGCATCAGTGACACTGAGGAAGAACTGTAGAGACGGGAGCCGTCTGTCTGGGCCATGGTTACCTACCTGGGTCGGACACCAGGGGGTCAGGGCCCCTGGATAAACAGCAGAGTCCCACCATCTGGTGGCAAGTTATCTACACAACCAAGAAGATCAGAACGACACAGTCTGGGGAAAACACTTTATTGCGGTATTTTGAAGTTCTTAGCATCTTTGCAGCATGCAGGACTCAAAGGTTGACTAATGGAAGCAGCAGAACACAGGTCTTTGAAGTCTGACCAACTTCACTTCAGTATCTATTGACAGTCCCACAGAACTTCAAACTTACACACAGAAGGACTGCGGGCCTCCCTCACTTAGTCACTGAATTCTACAAACTTCTCCGAACAGAACAAGAGTCCAGGCAGTCTAGGGGGGTGCTGTACTGCTTCTCGGGTTTTTATTACAGCCAGAGTTTATTTTATTGAAGAAATGCTGAGTTAGACTTAGAGATGGCTGTCTCCTCTTTCAGACAGGGCAAGAGAGCCTGAGAAAGGTCACATGGCCCGCCCTGAACAGACCAGCCTCGCCCTCAGGCCTCTGTCCCTGCTGCCCTCTGCAAGGCTTCCGCTCTGCAGCACCGGTAGTTGCCCACATTGCAGGGCACATGGTCCTCAGGCTGCGAGGGGCTGCTCCCTAAGGCTGTGGCATGTCCACACAGAAGCTAAGCACAGAGCAGGTTCCAGGGGCACCCTGTGCACAGGACATGGAGATGGCCCAGAGAGCCCGGCCCGCCTCTCCACGGCATGCTGCAGGAGGGCAGCAAGGCACACGGTGGACAAGGTCTTGTAGTGCGTGCTCAGGTCAGCACGGTGCTGCTCGAAGCTCAACAGCAGGAGAGTGGCCCCCGGGCCTCTGCACCTTGCGCACCAGTGGCTCTGGGCGTAAACTCAGGCTGTAGCTTGCAAAAGAGATGAGGGTCCAGGAGTGGGCTTTGCGTCCACGTGAGGATGGCTGTAAGAGGGCCAGACCCTGGGCATTGTGGGACTGCAGACAGGTGAAAGGGACAAGAGCATTTGATTTTAAATTTGTAATTCACCACTCAAAAAGGAAAAATGTCTTTTTAAATAAAAAATATTAAAAGTACGGAACTTCTCAGGAAGTTGAAATAGCACTGTCAGAAAGACAACAGTCTGATTGCTGCAGTCACGCCAACACACGCCACCACTGCAGACTGCAACGGGGCCTTAAATATAAAATGGGTCTCAGATAAACATCCTGAGAGAACAAATATCCAAACCAGAGAGACAGCACAAGCCCAGGAGGAACAGCGCTGGGTCCCTGGGTGAGCTGCATCCTGGCCCTGGCCGTCTGACTCGACATATCCACATCCCCCCAGGACAGACAGGGCTCTGTACTGTGATCACAATGCGACGGGGTGCGAGTGGTAACTGCTGGTATTCACCTTGAACCTGCATCAGACAGCAATCCCCCAAAGCAGCAGCTACAGCAAGCGTGCCGACCCCTGCGGCAGCTGTCCTCTGGGGGAGCAGCCCCACGGAGCCTGCCCCAGACATCGTGGCTCTGAGCAGGAGGATGCATTCCAGCTTTGGGATGGCAAGGACAGTGGCTGAGACTGGCAGCGAAGCACACAGCACCACCCGGTGTGCCCTGCAGGATGTGGGCTGGCTCCAGACCTGCTCCACCTTCAGCTGTGTTTTCCACCCGTGAGCACTGGCCGTGCATACTCCACAAAGTCATCCATGAGGACAGGCCACGCTCCTGGAGAGAAGCAGACACAAGTCTTCAGAAGTCACCATTAGCACCACTGCTACACTCAAAGGACTTTTTGCAAAATCCTATTTCAAGAATCCAAATGATCTGCAGTTCACAAAGCTCCTGTTTCACCAAATAATTGGCTGAAACCACCTAATTCTTTTGCCAGCAGGCCGGGGTCAGTGAGCCATGGTGTGACATGGGCTGTGGGCAGTACACTGCTCACTGACTGGGTGCTTCCTTGGTTGGCCTCCAGACAGCTGGGACCAGCCGATTTGGGACAGAAAGATGGACCCATTTGTGCTCTGCAGGAAGGAGCAGCTGTTCCCGCAGTCGTGGGCACTCTGCCCAGCAGTGGTCCTGCCTCCCTGCTGGCTTCCCAGCCAGGTTCCTCACAAAGGCCCCGCCCCACCCAGCCAGGGTGTCCCAGCAGCCTCTACAGCCCCCGCTCCAAGTGCTGTCCGAGCGGTCGGCCATCTGCATAGACGGAGACCTCCCAGAGCTGAGCTTGTGCAGTCACTGCTGGGGGCCTACGTGAGCTAGACAGCATACTCGTGCTAAGGACAGAGAGGAGCTGTGCCCACAGAGAACACTGCCAGGAGCAGGGAAAGGCCCCGGGCTCCAGTCCTGGCCAGCCCAGTGAGCACAGAGGCAGATCCTGGAGGGGCGGCCTCTGCCTGGGACTGCCCCCCCCCACAGTGGCATGCCTAGGCCCAGGAGGAACCCAGACCCCCGGAATAGGCCTAGGCATGGGGGTATCTACATGCACACAGCCACATAGGCCACCAGAGGTCTCCCTGTCAACAGCAACAGCAAGCACTCTGTGGGACCCTCAGAAACCAACAGGAAGGGGCACTCTCTGCCCTCAGCCAGGGAAGGACTTCCTGTCTGACCAGTGCTGCCCTTCCCTCTGAAGTCCTACAGTGTCTAGTACCTTCTTCATCGTAGTTAGACATATCATCTGCAATCATGTTTCCAAAATCTAGCAGAAGGTTCCAAGTGTCCCGTGGAATTGATCTTTTGTGATGTTCCTAATACATAAGAGGGAAAAAACCCAGCAGATTAAGGTCCAGAGCTCAACCCTCAGATCTCTTAGTGGCCAAGGGTCCTCCATCGATGAAAGATCCTGCTTATCTGACAGGCAAAAAGCACAGTCATGTCTGTCCCAAGGAGAAGCAGCAGTGGTACCGTGCTTAAGCACACAGAGTCCCCCCGAGCCTGTGTTCCAGTATAGACTGGCCTAAAGCAGAAGCAAACGTTTTAAACACTAAAATCATAAATTCCTGTGCGGTCAAACTGAAGGGCAGCATTTTAATCTCCTGACCTCCTTCCCCACCAACTCAGAGACTCTGTGGGACAACAAGCAAATCATATTCCTATTGATCTCTACGTGTTTATTTTTCTCTGAATTTGCTAGCTCACGCGGGGGGACGGGCTGACTCTCTGAAAGTATATGTCAGTCCGTATTTCAGAAACATCAAAGCCCTGAGGGCAAAGGTGACACCTGTGCCCACAGCAGGGCCGCCCTGCCTCTCTCGCCAACTATTTCTTCTGCCTTCTTCAGAGGTGCTCATTCTCCTGAGGGTGGCACTGCCGTTCTGCCACACACACGCCCACGGCCATGAGCAGCTCAGGAGCTGAGCAGGTGCCACGAACCATGACTCAACTACGGCAGTTCCCTACTACTTGTCCTTCTCCATCCAGCCGGGGCAGCACGCCATCCCTGCGGCTCTCCGCTGGCCGCCCTGCGGCTCTCCGCTGGCCGCGCTGCGGCTCTCAGCTGTGTTGACTCCTCACTTTGTTCTGTGGCTCTGTGGTAAGGTCGGGGGCTTGGGTGTGGGGGTGGTGGCACACTGTCTAATTCCCCATGGCTGCACACTGTGGCCCAGCAGGACACAGTGCCTGTCCCCTGCCCAGCCTTGCTTGCTCCTAACAGGCCCAATAAGGCTCCTTGCCCTCCTGAGCACTGCAGAACATATTTTAAAACCTCCCCAGAACAGACACATGGTGGCTGCAACCTCTGGACACTGGGACCTGGTACACAGCTCTGGAGCCCCTGCCAACCGGCAGTGAGTTTGGCCCAGCCCTTTCCTCAAGGATTTGAAGTTTCTCAGGATTAACCGAGTTTTTTTTTTGGCATGGGGTCCTTGGAGGAGATGGTGGATCCAGGTCTGCAGAGGTGCACCGCGCACTCTTCTAGAACCCATCTTGCGGGGTCTCTCCTGGCCTTGGCAGGGTGGAGCAGCACCTCTCCTGACACCAGAGCCCCTCCAAGCAGGACCTGTCCACCTAGGACCTCCAGGTGGAAGGTGTCAGGTGATTATCATCACACTCAGCCTCAAAGCTGACAGCCTCCCCGTAGACTGGCACACCCAGCAGGAAACCCAGCACTTACCAGCAGAAATGTGTTCCAAAGATCTAAAAATTTAAACCTTCCCGATAACACTAATTTCCAATATGCAACAGCCATTTCTAAATCTGGCAAAAAAGAGAAATAGTAGTTAATAAATTCCTATCTCTTTTTCTACTGCATAAGAAATGATACTCACTTGATTGTTAAAATTTGGCAATTTTATCCAAGAGTCACATGAGGCCTAATCTCACTCAATTCAGGAATACAAATGTTCCTGAAAATGACATATATTTTAATTTTCTGAATCTGAGGAAATTTTATATTTTAATTTTCTGAATCTCAGGAAATTTCTTGAAAAAAGGAATCATACTGATATTTGGAAATGCAAGTAATCTGTACCATAATTAGTCAGTTTGGGAGACTCCCATTTCATAGACACCAGTCCTTTGACAGTCCTGACTTGATCTGGTAACTGTTAATGAATATCATTTTATTTTTTGAAACAGCTGGAAACACCTTATCCAGAAAGAAGGGACCCCAGTCTCCACAGCCTGCCCCCTCTTGCTGCCAACCAAGGCAGTCTTAATGCTCAGGATCACTGGCTGCAAGCACATTAGCCAGGCACTCCAGCCATTCTGATCCCGCACCCTTGGTCAAGGTGATCAGCACATGTGGGGAAAAGGTCTTCACCATAGAAGGATGAGTAAAACTCTGGCTGCTTGTCAGTCAAAGTCAAAGCTCTCCTGGAAAGGCAGAGGTCGATCCTCGCCTTCGATGCAAACTCACGCTAGGGGTGCCACTTTAGATGCAGCTGAAGAAATGAAGGCTGTGCTTCAGGGCTGCAGCACACAGCATCTCCAAGCTACAGTGTTCCTGTACTCGTGGATTCTCTGTTGAATGGGAATTTTAAAATCACTTGTTATGGGTTAGGATTGTGGCTCAGTGGCAGGGCACTTGTCTTGCATGTATGAGGCAATGGATTTGATCCTCAGCACCACATGAAAATAAAATAAATAACATAAAGGTATTGTGTCCATCTACAACAAAAAATTTTTTTTAAAAAATCACTTCTTATATGCTTGCCATAGTAAGTATGTAAGGGGTGAAGAAGTCTATTTCTTAAAATGGACCACCTTTCATCGGAATACAGCTTCCCTCTGGTAAGCAATATAAGGACGAGTTATGTTGAAGTAACTTCCTATTGCTGCTCACATGTGTGTCAGGTCATGTGAAAGAAGACTGATATATTAAGCTAAAAATTAGTTTAAATGCAAAACTAAATACTTTTCAAAAGATTTTTTTCTAAGTCTGGCTTAGTCCCACTTGACCGAAGCTATCAAGCTGGAACTCTGTGACTTGAGCTCTCCAGGGCTGACCAGTAGCACCAGGCGGAGGCGGATACCCAGCTGCAGCCAGTGTCTTAAGCCTGTGTGCTCAGGTCTCCAGCAACGAGTCTCAACAGAAAGACAGACAGACAGAAAGTTCCGAGTGCCGGGCACGTGAAGGAGCTGTCTGAGCCTTACCTAGGGGACTCGCAGGGCAATGCTAAGATGATTATCTCGTCCTGCTCATAAGCCTACATCCTCACCACTTAGGAAGAACCCTAAGTGAGGTCTATGTTCGACTCATCTTAATGCTGACAAGCTCTCCCATTGGGAAATGGAGCTGAACCTGGGGAGGAAGAAGACAGAGTTTTATGGCATATATGTATTTATATATATATATATATATATATATCATCTAGTTATTCCTGGGCTCATTTTGGTCCTTCCATATGAAGTATCTGTTTTGGATGTGTGCAAAACACATGTCTAAAAAGTAAATGTGCGTATTTTCAATATCTAATATTATTTGTGTAAAAATGTCACACTATACCAATGGATTTGGCTATTTTCAAAAGAAAACAACAAAAGTCAGAGTGGTAGAAGCGAGGCTGCGCTGGGGTGGGAGGTGCTCTGGTGCTAGATCTCCATGGCAGCAGTTTTCCCCCAAAACCTCTAAGACGTCTCATCTCCTGATGTTACAGCAGAATTCAGCTTGCAATGCTCAGTCGAGGGCTACATAATGAAGATGACCCACTGTCCAAAAAGGATCTTGGGCCAGACATAAAAATTAGTTTATTATCATGATACCTTCCCCAAAAAGCAAGATTCTCAAAGCCAGCTGATTCTAGCTCTATCCAATGTGAAGCCCTGAGCTACACTGAGGATGTAGCTCCACTGTAGCTCAATCCCCTGGCATGCTGGAGGACCGGGTTAGGTCCCTGGCACCGCAGCAGTGAGTCTAACCACTCTACTCACCACAGGCTGACCACCAACTAAGTACAGGGGTTCAGTAATCACACACAGGAACAACACAGCAGTGAGGTGTGTTGGTAGGCGCCTGCAGCCCCAGAGTTTGGGAGGCCAGGTAGGATGGTCACTGGACCCCAGGAGTTGGAGCCCAGCATGGGAAACATAACGATGTACACCCAGACTTGAGGGGAGAGGTGGACAAAGCTCTCGGATGCCACTGCCCACTGCTGCCCATACCTCTGCTAGGAGGTGTGGGAAACGTGTGCCATCTCTTTAGGTTGTGTGACTCTTTATAAGGCAAATGTACAACAATGCACTTTGGAAAAGGCAAACTGATCATGTTTAGTCTAAGGAAATAAAAAGACAGTCCTTTGTTCTAGTAAAGGAACTATGAGTTTGTCTTATCTCATTGGTGGGTCTCTTCTGTGGCTTGCGAGGCTGAACAGAGGCACAGATCTCACACTACTTCAGGACATTCCTTGCCCTAAGCTGAACATCGCTGAAACATTCTCCCAGAGGAAAAAATACATTTTTTAACTTAATTTTTTTTTATTGTTGCAGCATTAGGACTAAACCCAGGGCCTTATGCACACCAGGCAAGCACTCTACCACTGAGCTATATCCCTGGCTTGAATTCCCCAACTTCAAATTAGGGAATTGCTTTAGGCTGCGACTTACCACCTTATGGAAGGTGGCAGTGTTGCAAGGAGATCATGTGCCTGTGCAGCCCCTCCCTCCTGCAGCCCCTGAGCTGTTAAGAAGGCTGGGGAGACTCCTGGAAAGAAAGCCAGATCCAGTAGGGTTCCTGGGTGCTTCCAGCAGCCCAGCCACCAGCTGAGATGACCCCGAGCTCTGTTGACCTGGGGGAACAGAAGGGTTGCCCTGCCAAGTCCTGCCTGAACCCCTGACCCTAAAGATCAGGTGCTGCAAAAAATGATGATCACCAGAAGCCACGAAGTTTCCAGGTGGTCTGGTCTGCAGAGGTACAGGCCTAGGAGTGGATTTGCAGCAAGAGTGAGACTCTGCCCCTGGAAGCTCCCAGTGCTGAGGCTGCGGCAGGGGACCCTGCAGGGCCTAGAAAAAAGTTCTTCTACTGCTCTACATCTGAAGTTAACCTGGTGCCAAAAGACAGACACCCTCAAAGCACAACCCCTACACATGGAAGGAAATGGAGTGCTAACCCTGTCAGTACTTTTCACTTCAACACTGAATAGATGCAATCTCCTGGAATTCAAAACGTAAATTATTTATTGCTAACAAGTTTAATTATCCTAATATTATACTGAAGATTCTGAAGAGAACAGAAAAATACTTTTTGATCATTCATTAAAAATTCAAGGTGTTCTTCCCTGACAACCATTTAATTCTAAAGAACAGATGTTATTTAAAAACTTGGATCAGACTGCTGCTTGCATCTTTTTTTTGGTACTGGGAACTGAATTCAGAGGTGTTCTACCATGGAGCTGTAGCCCCAGTCTTTTTTATTTTTGAGACAGGGCCTTGCTAACTTGCTGAGGCTGGCCTTGAACTTGTGATCCTCTTGCTAAGCCTCCCAAGTTGCTGGGACCATGGGCTGTGTGCTGGCTGATAAACTAATGGTCATTTTGAAAATCGAAGTGGACAAATCTCTAGGAAATAAACTGCTCAAAGCAAAGCATTATCTAAACGCTCTGTTTGAGAAAAAATAATGGGAAGATCAAAGGATTTTGAAGGCAGACCTAGAATGGCTGCCCAACCCTGTGTATGCATTTCATACCACCTAACTGTGCTCTTAAACGTCTCTGAATCCTCACAGAAATAGCAACAGCAGCCAGACAGCAAAACCAGACCCACAGGTGACATCTCCAATAAATCTAGATGTGAGGAGGTACCATCAGGAACCCAAACCCACAGGTGACATCTGCAATAAATTTTGAAGAAAAGAGCCCAGACAGGAAACTTAAGACCCAGCACCCCAACATTAAAAGCAGGCAGCTAACACTGGGAAACACAGCAGAAGAGGAAGGCCATCCTGGCCACAGGTCCAGGAGAGCTGCCTCTGGGTCTGCAGCTGGGTTTCAGGAGACGGCGGCAGCAGGGAAACAGGCAGGACTGCCAGCATCCTCCCTGCACCGGCTTCCGGGAAATCAGGATGGAAAACCAAATGTTGGTGGCACTTTTCTACCTCTGGGAGTTTTAAGCCACTTTCCAGTTTCTTATGTAATTTTAGTCATCTTATGATATTGCTTTTATTTACAGGAGTTTTTCCTCAAACTACACTTTCTAATAAGCCTGTTTATCCTTATTTAAAAGACCACATATAACTCCACCAACAAACATGTGAGATTTGAAATTAACTAAACAAGGTCTATTACATGCATGAGGCAACCAATCTATCAGCATAGACAGATTTTTAGAAAGAGGTAAGGCAGAAATAACTATGCTTAGGTGCAAAACAAAACAAATAAATCAAATTCTCAAACTAAAACAAATTTTTTGTTCGTTCTGGTATTAGGTTGAACCTGGAGGGCTTAACACTGGGTCACACCTTCAGCCCTTTTTATTTATTTTTGAGACATGGCTGCTGAGGCTGGCTTTGAACTTGTGATCCTCCTGCCTCAGCCTCCCAAACCGCTGGGATTTCAGGTGTGTGCTACTACGCCCAGCTCAAATTGAAAATTTAACTTGAAAACATCCGGATGCACTGCCTACAAAACACAAGCAGCCACACGACTGTGAAAGGAGGTGCACTTCCATGCACAGAACCGGCTCCGAGCAGGTCAGCTCAGCTCCCCAGAACTGCCCGGTGAGCCTCACCTGGCCACTCTCAAGGAGAGGACGCGAAATACCTGTAACTCAGGCCATACCTCAGGATTTAGACAGTTAAATGGAGACGATAAGATGGAGACACTGCTGGCTGAGGGTCTCAGGTGCGGGATGAACAGAGAACCAGAGCAGGACGGTAGCAGCATGGCTGGCTGCACCGAGACCCCGCTGACACAGCCAGTCCTCCCACGCAGACCAGGCGCTCACAGGGCGCCCCCGGGGCTCCTACTCACCGAGGCCCTTTTGCCCAGGGTTCTTAGCAAAGGTGAAGGTAAACTGGTACAAGTCCTTGAACTTCACGGGGTCCTGCAGCTCTTGCTCTAGGCTGGGCAGAAGGGTTCTGAGCTTCTCGGTGCTGTCACACCTGTGACGAGAGACGGCCTGTCACCTGTGGCAGAAGACCATCCCATAGCAGCTGGCCCCGGCTCTATGACTAGTGTGGGTGGGGCTGGGTGCACGGCGTCTCTCCCCGAGAACTCGCGTGCGCTGGGCTGTACTGTGCTGATGGTGCACAACTGCACAGACCCAGGGCACCCACTGAGGACTCCATGGTGAGGCACCTGGCCTCTCAGCCACGCTGGGGCGAAGCAGTCTATCCCTACACCTCTGACCACGTGCTGAGGTCAAGGCCCCAAGGGTGGCAGAGGCAAGGTGCAAAGTCCCTGTGCCCACGCACACGAGATGGGCCACCCTGCCAGCTGGGCTACTGCTGCCTCTAAGCAGCCACCATGAATGAGCCTCATTCCTTCCTTCAATATTGAGTGTAGCAGGTGCCCTTCAAATAGCTAGGTACTCTAAAAACTGTTCCAGAATTAAACATACCATGTTGTGTTGAATTTTCCTCCAAAAAGTAAAGTATCTTTAAAAATATTAACTGTTCTGGGCTGGGATGCATCTCATAAGTACTTGCAAGCAAATATGAGGCCCTGAGTTTGGATTCCAGTACCTCAAAAGAGGGGGGTAAAAACCTCAGTAAAAATAACAGACTCTTGGTCTGGGGTTGTGGCTCAGCGGTAGAGTGCTCGCCTCGCATGTGCAAGACCCGGGGCTCGATCCTCAGCACCACATAAAAATAAATAGGTGAAATAAAGGTACTATAACTAAAAAATATTAAAAAAATAAGTAAATAAAAAAATTAAAAGACTCTTTCTTATATCAGCTGCACAGCAAGGAACAGAATGGTGCTTCACGTACCCCTTACTCCCGTGCAGCAGAGTGGAAGAAACTGGAGAGAGCCTTGGAGCACCAGCACCACCTGCAGCAGGATGCCCTGGCCCTCAGCCCTCGGTCTCCCTCCACCACTTCCACCACCTCAGCAGCACGTGCTGCACAGGAGCCTGGGGTCACCGTGAGCCTGCGAGGTCTGTTCTTACAGTGTGTGAGCCACTGCCGATTTCCTCTTGCCATGCAGAACTCGGTCACGCAGTGCTGGTGCTGAGCCTGCAGCTGCTGCCCTTTCGGTTGTGCCAAGAGTTCCAGCACAGGTGTGCGCGGGTTGGCACATGCCGGGAGGGGACGGGCCCACAGGGGCTGCGCACCTCTCCGGAGGTCAGAATGACACCAGAGCAGGGTCCACTCCCACTCTGCACCTGTGCCTTTCTCTACCAGGCCACCTGTTGGGTTCTATCTCACTGAGGCTTTGCCTGTACCTCCCCAGGAACAAGAGCGGCTTCCTGTGCTTCCACTGGCCACGTGGGACCCTCTCTGGTGAAGCACTGATTCAAACTGCTTATTCTAAAAGAGATTTTTCACTATTTGTAGGAATTCCTGAGACACAGGTGTGTGTCCGCTGTTTTAAAAGAACTCTCCCAGAATGCCTGCTTGCTTTTCCTATGGCTCACACTACAAGATACACAAAATACATGTGCGTGTGTGCGTGTGTGTGTACACATATATGATTTTTCCAGATACATAACACGTGTGTGTGTGTGTACATACATATAATTTTTTGGTTTTTTGGTACTGGGGATTGAACTCAAGAGTGCTTTACCACTGAGCCACATCCCAGCCCTTTACTTTTTATTTTGAGACAAGGTCTCACTAAGTGGCTTGAACTTGTGATCCTCCTGCCTCAAGTTTCCCAAGTCGCTGGGATTACAGCTTGTCCACTGGGCCTGGTCCTAGATTCTTATTTTTAGTGTGGATACTCTATCAGTCTTTTCCTTTATAGTGATTTTTTTCCCTTTGGTAGGGGTGACATGTTTTAAAACTTCCTAGTCACAACTGTGACTTGTGCTGGGCATTCAACTGAACTGGGCCTCACACTAGAGCAGGGGCTCTACCACGGGGTTATATGCTCAGCCCAGATGATCTTCTACATTTTCTAGAACTTTCTGCATTTGCCTTTAGCACTGAGATCTACAATCTTAAAACCCACTTTCATATAATAGATATAATACTTCCTCAAGATTAACTTTTTTCCTTAAACCAACCAATTCTCCCAGGACATACAGGGGTGTACCACTAATGCCTGGCAGTGTTTCGTATTTTTTTGATGATACTGAAAATAACATACATTTAAAAAATTCACTTGTTTCGTAGTATTTGGTCTCACACATCCTTAGATTTCTTTTTTAATATATATATATTTTTAAGTTGTAGGTGGACACGTACCTTTATTTTATTTTTATGTGGTGCTGAGGATTGAACCCAGTGCCTCACATGTGCCAGGCAGGCACTCCACCACTAAGCCGCAGTCCCAGCCCCCACCTTTACATTTATCCTGTGTCTGTCCCTGTCTCAGGGGAGCAGCGGCTTATGATGCAGTAAGTACACTGCCTGTCCTAAGATTTATTCATCTGTTTCTTTTGGTCAAAGTCAGTCCAATCACGAGTGGACGTTCAGCTCCACAGGACATCTTATGCACCGAGGTCACCCTTTCTTTCCTTCTGTTGCTAATGGCTATGTCACAAGTCTCCCACTCCTGGGGGACAGCAAGCCTTGCCATGATGCATCACCCTACCTTTCTGGCTGCTGATTTGTCTTAGGGCTGGATTTAGGATTTCTGCATCTTATGTTCCTCTTATAAACCTCCTGGGTCTTGTGCATGAACCTAGCTATAATTCCCTGTTATCAGAACTTCCTTCTTAGATTTTGTTTTTCAGGTTGTGTTGGCCTCGAAACAAACCAGAGACTGCTTCCATTATTCTGTCTGGAAGAAACTGATCACATTGTTCTTTATTATTTTATTGATTTATATGCGGTGCTGAGAATTGAACCCAGTGCCTCACACATGCTGGGCAAGCGCTCCACCACTGAGCCACAACCCCAGCCCCACATTGTACTTTTAAAAAGAATCTATTTTGCATATACTGTTAAATTTATTGGTATGAAATTGTTCATAATAAATCTATTTCTTGATGTCTATAGGATCCACAGTGGTGCCCCTTTTCATTTTGTATTGGTCATTGTTATTTACAGTTTCTAAAAAGTTTTTTCAAATAACATGCTTCTGGTTTTACACACCTTTTATACCCATAACTTCTTTTTTTTTTTTTTAACTCTTTTCTTTTTTTGGTACTGGGGGTAGAACCCAGGTCTTCGCTAATGCTAGGCAAGTGCACTATCACTGAGCTACATACCCAGACCTCTCAACTTTTAAATTACTTTTTCTACTTCTGCTTATTTTAAAAAATTAATGCTTTATTCTACATCCTTTTGAGTTTAACTTCCTGCTCTTCTACTTTTGTTGACCCTGGAGGTGGAACCCAGGGCCTTGAGCGTGCCAGGCAAGCTCTACCACTGAGCCACACCCTAGTCTTCTTTTTCTACTACCTAACATGGACACTTTTGCATAATGATTGTCAGCCATTCTTCTTTCTCAAACATACATTTAGGAAGCTGAATCCCACAAGTGTTTTTTTTTTTGGGGGGTGGGGTGTCAGGGATTGAACTTAGGGGCACTCGACCACTGAGCCACACCCCCAGCCCTATTTGTATTTTATTTAGTGACAGGGTCTCTCTGAGTTGCTTAGCGCCTCACTTTTGCTGAGGCTGGCTTTGAACTCGAGATCTTCCCGCCTGAGCCTCCTGAGCCACTGGGATTGCAGGTGTGCGCCAGCATGCCTGGCCCACAAGCTTTTGTAGCAATATTTTCTTCATCAATTATTTTCTAATTTCTACTGTAACTTATTTTTCAAACCAAGGGTTATTAGAAGTGTGCAATATTTGCACATATTTCAACCCAGTCATCTTCTTAGTAACCCTAGTTTAGCTGCCTACAGTGAGAACACGTACCTCTGTATCATCTTAATTCTCTACAATTTGTCTTAACTTTATGCTTATGCTGGATTTTTATGAATGTTCTATTTCCTGGAAAACGTAGGGAGCACTCATCAGCATCACAGGCACTGCTCTAAACATGCTCCCTAGCACGCTGTGTTGTCCAGTCTTTTGTTTCTTTACTGATTTTTCACTGGTTCAATTCATCAGTTACTAGGATGTGTGTGGGAATTCCTCACTTTGTATCTCCCTCTTTGTAGTTGTTTATTTTTGCTTTATTGAAAGCAAAACATGAAGGCTTTTGCTTTCCTAGTGAAATGAACCTTTCATCATTATGAAATGTCCTTCTTCATCTTCAGAGCTGCCTTATTTTAACATCAACAGTGACACAGTTTCAATGTCTGCACGACACATCAACTGCTGACCTTCCCTACTGTACCATGCCCTGCGTTTTAGTTGTGTCTATAATTAACAACATGTGTCAGTTGATTCAACGGAATTTCTAAATTTTTTTTGTTTTAAATAATTTTGTTATTTAGAAATTACATTTATTTACTCTCCTACTATTTGTGCGTAATTAGTAGTCAATATCTTCTCCCATGCGTTTATTTTCTTCTTTTGCAGTGCTGCGGACAGAACTCAGGGCCTTGTATGTGCTGGAAAGTGCTACCATTCAGCCTTGTGCCTAACGCCCTTTTTAATTTTTACTAGTATCTTTGTACAAGTAGCAGTTAACTTGCATGAGGCCAGTTCCTCAGCATCTTCCTATATGGCTCGTGCTTTCTGACTTCTCTAAGAACACATTTGATTCAGTGTTTCTTTATCTAGCATTGTACCCGAAAACAGGGACGGATCACTCAGAGTTCCAAAGGGCCAGGAGTACAAAGAAACCCGCTGCAGAACCACTGTCAGAGGAAGCTCTTTGTTGGTTTTGCACAATTACCAAGAACGGGGTGAGCTTCATTAGGAGGAAAGGCTTGTGGAGTTCACTGGCCAAACAGACGGCCATATCAACGCAAAGCGTCAGTTTGGTGGAAACACAGGCAAGGACTTTTACTTGAGAAATATAACAAGCAAAAAGCAAAGTGAGACTTTTACAAATAAGAATTATGTATTTAATATAATAAGTGTAATACATTATATAACATATAATAGCATGAAATAGATTGGTTGGGAAAAAACTCTACTATTGACTGTCAATTTAAATTTGGAAGGTAATAAAAAAGAAAATGAGTTATTAAAGGGGTAATGTGAATAAAAATCATAAAAAAACTTGAAACTGGAATTCAAAGGCTTGTGTAGTTGTATAAGATATTTATAGAATATGTAAAGAAAATTCACTGATATATATAATTAGAAGTCCCCCCATCCCACCAGGGATTCAACCCAGGGGCGTTTAACCACTGAGCCACATCTCCAGTCCTTTTTATTTTTATTTTAAGTTGCTTAGGGCCTTGCTGAGTTAGTGAGGCTGGCTTTGAACTTACAGTCCTCCTGCCTCAGCCTCCCAAGCTGCTGGGGTTATAGGCATGTGCCACTGTGCCCAGTCTAAAATTATAATTTATAAGTTGAAAATTACTAACGTGGAAAGTATGTTCCCTTCTATAGAAGCTTAAACTAAGAACGGTTTACCTACCCCAGCTCGGTCATGCCGTCCATGAACTCCTTCCTGCTGAATTCGCACTGAGTGGCAGCTCTGAACTTCCATGCTATGACCAGAACACTGATGCTGGTGGGGTCCAGCCTCAGATCGTCACAGAATTGCTGAATCCCATCAATCCCGATTCTGTCTCCATCTTGCGGGTCTGTAGTTAAAGTCAATGGGGTTAGGGTCACACCACCTGGTTGCATAACTCTGGCAAGTAAACCTCAGACACACACCAATGGACTAGCTTTCTACTACCTATGAAAGAAACAGTGGGCAACAAGTAACGACTCACCCAGAAACCAGTCTATCTTTAAAATCTAGATTTGCTTGCTTCTAACAGTGCTATGGGATTGAATCCAGTACCTCGGACATACAAGGCAAGCTCTGTGCTGCTGAGCTGCATCCTCGTTTGATTTCTGGGTTTTATCATTCAGGAGTAAGTTTAAGGAGTGGTTGCTCAGGAGTAGAGTGCTGGCCTAACGTGCAGAAGGCCCTGGTTTGAGCAGGAGTATCACCACCACAAAAAAAGAAGAAGGAAAAAAAAAAAGACTGGGATGTAGACCCAAGGTAGAGAAGCTGTCTAGTGTGCACAAGGCTCTGTTTCATCCCTTGCACTGCAAAGCAATTCAATTTCCCTAAAGTAAGATAAAAATTCAAGTTAACAGAATTTTAGTTTCCTTGAAGACAAACTGCTACAAAAAATATTGCAGTGATAAAGGGTTTTGAATGCTTGGAATTTTTATCACAACTCCACCAAAGTAAAAAAGAATGATTGATCAATTTTTTTCTCTTTAAGTCATTTCATTTGCTAATTCTAATGCTACTAAACAATTACTTTCCAAAATCATTTAGATTTGGAGACACTGTGGCACACACCTGTAGTACCTTGGGAGCTGAGGCAGGAGGATTCCAAGTTTGAGACCAGCCTCAGCAACTTAGCCAAACCTGTCACGAAATAAAAAATAAAAAGGGCTGGGATGTAGCTCAGTGGTAAAGTACTCTGGGTTAAATCCTCAGTATTTTTTTCAATTTTTTTTTTTTTTTTTTTTTAGTTGTAGTTGGACACTATACCTTTATTTTATTTATTTTTTAATGTGGTGCTGAGGATTGAACCCAGTCAGTGCCTTACACGTGCTGGGTGAGCACTCTACTGCTGAGCCACAACCCCAGTCCCTAAATCCTCAGTATTAAAAAAAAATCAAATAAAAAAAATTTGCCTTATGCATCTACACTTAACAGCATGGAAATTCAGGCCCCCCTACTTCTGCTTTAGAAATAAAATTAAGAAATTTAGCATCTGTCTATGAGAAAATCAAAACAGTAAAGTACACTGATACAGCCCAGCAAGACCTCACTATACTGAGCCCTTTAATTTCAGAAGGATCATGTATGTTATCATATATCATCATAACGTGTGTGTGGATTCTACTGGTACAGAGATACAAATAAAAAATCTAGAGCTTCTTTGTTCAAATAAAGCTCAGATGTGTTGAACTTTTCTTCTCCTTCATATGTAATTTAACTCTGGTCATTTAAGTACTAGATATCACATTTTTTAAATATGTTGTTTCTAAAGAAAAATTAACATAAATTATATAAACAAAACCAGAAACCCTTCTAACTGTATCTTCTCACACAGAGAAACCAAACTCAGCTTTGGGAGTGTGACAAAGGTTCTATATTCTCTATTTCCATTCTATCTGCTGACATTACACCTCTGCAGATCAAAGAAAATCCCACTCTTATCAAACTAGCCATCCTGGTCAACTTCATGAGGTTCTCCTTCATTTGTATACATTAGATGTTATATTAGTACACAGTCTTTGAATTATATATTTAGAACTCAAAAGGATGTAACCTATTTGAATTATATATTTAGAATCCAAAAGGACTAGCCTGCATGAATAGAATCAAGTAATGATGAAGGGATGAAGCTTAATAAATAAATTTCACTGAAGTATTTCTTCAAAGACAGCTCTATTTGAATAATTATAAAATTGTGCAAAGGATATGACTTACAGACTTAGCTAAAAAACTTTAAAGTACACTAAACAGTTTTCACTTTTTGAGAACTATGATAATTACAAATCTGGTGTTTTTCATTTTTAACCATATAGTAGGTTTCTGAACAGTTTTTTTTTTTTTTAAAGAATACAATTTTCAACCCATTTGCCCAACAGAGGGGGAGCAAGGAGACAGTATCTTTGAAAATAACAAATAAGAAAGTAAAAACCAAGAAAATTTTTCTATTGGGCGAACATTTGCTTAACTGAAGGTCTTTTTTTTTTTTTTAAAAAAAAGACTTAATCTTCAAAAACTACTAGAAAAAAAAGCAGTCCGTCAAGTGAATTGTTTCTGCTTTATTTGATACGAAATCTCCTGACCACCAGGGGTGTGGGTCTGTTCACACTCTCACGCACACTCACTTTCATGGCATGGCTGCACTTTGATAAACAAAGCCACATTCTAGGCTCTTCAATTAAAATAAGTCATCCTCCATGCCCACGTGGAGCTGTCTCACTGAGAGCGCCCCCACAGCGACAGCGTGGCACGAGGGCGCCCCCAGGTGGGGAGCGGGCGGTCACACTCTGACTCTTCAGTAGTGCTCTGCCACGGATGTTTCAGTCTAGATAAATGCTGGCAAAGACCCCTGTGCTATCAGGTGTGGCCACAGGCAGACTCCAGGCCAGGACACTGAGCAGGGCTGCTTCCCACGACCACTAGGGTCACACTCCCTGCAGAGAACACGCTGTGGCTGCAGGTCACACCAGGCCAGCTTTCCAATGCCCCTCTTTCCCCTTTATTGAGAAAGGGGTTCTGGAGCTCAACGTGAGGAGGAGCAGCAGCTTGGAGCTCTGCGGTCCTTGGCACCCGAGGTCCCAGGAACAGTGCGCCCTCTGCTTGCTAGGGATGGCCTCTGGTCTGGCCCTGCTGCCACGTCATCCCTTACCTTTGTACCTGCCATACAGCTGCTCCAGCTTCCTCTGGTCCACAGCGTCCCGCCTGGACTCCCTGTGGAACACGTCTGGGGTTTGGAAGAAGCTGGCTGTGGCCTCGTCTAGCTTCCACTCACTTTGCGTTAGGCAGTAGATGGCAGTTCTCTCACCAGCCTGAGTACACGCCATAAACTGGCGGACCTTGTCCTTCTGAGTCGACTTAAGCTTATGCTTGGGATGCAAAAGAAGCAGGAGAGCCAATGAAGCCTCTCTAGGGTTTGTGTAGGCCGCTACTTCTAATGCCTGCTGTTAACTGGACTCAACTTCACTTCAGAGTTACAGGACACCAGAGTCTTGTTCATCAGTGAAAAAGACTCCACAGTCTTCTGACAACTGGAACGACAGCATCTATAGAGCAACAGATATGCCAAGTCCAGTCCTCAACAAATTGTGAGAATCAGCCTTTTACAGAAAATACACTTTGATCACTACCTGGTTACCCTTACACAAGTACAACAGTCCCCCGCTTGAAAATCTCAGCACGGGCTCTCGGCAAGTCTAGCCCTCTGAAGACGAGGTAGGACCTGACTTCAGGGCAGGGTCCATCTGCAGGGGCTTTGCTTCTATTGAGCCCAAGTGCTACTGAACAGGAGGGGCCAGCAGTTTGAAACAGTCAGCTTTCCAGTTTAAAAACAACCACAGTAATGAAAACATGCACACATAAAATGATTATCACATCAGCAGCATAAAAAGTTTGTTGTGACGAAATGAAAGTGATGACACTGGTCACAACATGTCTGCATGTGTGAGACAGAAACAGGGCAGGGCAGGAGGGTAGGCAAAACCAGCAAGCTGCAAGGGAACTGCGCTATCTATAGTCCATGATGAAACAGCAGGCACAGGGTGAAGGTCTCACTGCTCTAATGTCACCTGGTGAAAGCAACACCAGTGCAGAGCAACTGCTAACTTGGGCAAATTAAAGCAATCACCGCGATCTACTAAGGGCTGATTCTTTTTTTTTAATATTTTTTATTTTTTGGTGTAGATGGACACAACACAATGCAATTTTTTTCCCTCACTTTTATGTGGTGCTGAGGATTGAACCCAGGTCCCGCCTGTGCTAGGCGAGTGCTCTACCGCTGAGCCACAATCCCAGCCCCAGGGGGCTGATTCTTTTTATTATATAAATGCTTTACCCAATACAAAGGGAAAAACTTTACTTACAAGGATTGTATTCAATCTCGTTCACATAAAGATGAGAATTTATAGAAACAGAATAAATTATAACCTACAGGAAGACGCAAACGGATGACAGATGGAGATGAAAAAACAGAAGCATGAGAAGAGCCAGGCTGTGACTGGCGTGAGGCCCTGCGTACCACCAGCAGAGCTGAGTACGGGAGGAAGCAGGCTCCCCGCACGCAGGTGCCGCAGCAGAGAGAAGAGGTCAGTCAGGATAACGTCTTTTTAATCAACGTAAGAACCCACAGTGGGTTCTTACTGATCCTAGTGGTATCACTGACCCTAGTCTCGAACCTGAGGGAAATGGCTCAGCCCGATTCCTCACCATCATGCCAAGAATAAGCACCAGAGGAAGCTGCAGAGGTTTCTAAGGCAACCCAAGCGTGCTGGTAGCAGAACACCAGCACAACTCAGCAGGAGTCAGTGCAGCCAGACACACACAAAGCTGCTCCACAGGTTTTGGGCCCAAGACCTTTCCTGGATCTCACAATGTCAAAACTATTTCCCAAGAATTCAAAGCTGTCATTAGACAACCTCACGCTCATCTTAAGAGTGTGCAGGAGAGGCCTCCAGGCTGCCTGAGCCGTGATATCACAATAGGCTAAATGAAAAAGATTCAAGAACTTCTTTCCTATGATACCAGATATTAAAATTATCTGCTGGGGCTGTGGTTGTAGCTCAGTGGTAGAGCACTTGCCTAGCATGTGTGACGCACTGGGTTCAATCTTCAGCACCACATAAAAATAAATAAAATACAGATATTGTGTTCATCTACAACTAAGAAATTTTTAAAAATCTGCAAAAATGAAATGTAAAAAAGTAATGTGCTTGTAATTATTAATCCTCACATATTTAAAAACTTATTTTAATTCCTGATGCAGTGAACATCAATGTCCATTAACCACATAAACAAAGCTCTTTGGGTCCCCAATCATTCTTAAAAATATAGGGCTGTGGCCATATGAATCTCTTGTGGTTCTGCCACTGCAGGTGGAAGCAGACAGTGGGAACGGTTTATACACAAGTGGGTATGGCCTTGACATTTCACTTATAAAAACAGGCAGCTAGCTTGTGACTGCTGAACGCGATCTAAATTCTAGAGTGACACATGGGACGTATATACATATACTATACGTTATTTCCCAAAACAGTTCTTGAAAAGTATAGACAAAGAATTCAAGGCTATATTCTCTAGTAAGATCAATCTAGTCAAATCAGAGAAGAGCTCACATGTCATGAGAGCCAGCTGACAAGTAATAAAGTCAGCATCTTTTTATGAAGATGGTCAAGGATGGACACGGCCAAGAGTTGCTTCAAAAACTAAGACAAGACACACATGCAATCAGAAAAAGTCCCTCCATAGCTCCTTTATTATGGAAGAGCTAATCAACACCATCCTGGTCATAAAACAAAACTCAGTCCATCCATATAACGGAATGTTATTTAGCCATAAAATAATGGCATATGTCACAGTATGGGTGAACCTCAAAAGCAATATGCTGAGCAAAAGCCAGACCCAAAAGGCTACATGTCACATGATTCCATTTACAGGAAATGTTCAGAATAGGCAAATCTATAGAAACAGAAGGCAGATTAGAGGGTGCCAGGGGTTGGCAGGGAGGAGTTGGCAATGCTTGCTCATGAACAGGGTTTCCCTGGGAGTGATGAAAATGTTCTGAGACTTCATAGAGGTGGTGGTGGCAGAATACTGAATGTTCTAAACACTGACCTGCACACCTCAAAATAGCTAATTTTATGTCATGTGAATTCTACTTCAAAAAAATGTCAACATAACAGCTAGGCCTCCAAGACCAAGGAGCAGAGTCACACACCCCAAGTGGCTGTGTCATTTGACCAGCATTACAGCACTGATGGCTCCACATCAAGAAAACATGGGTCAGGCCTGGTGGTGCATGCCTGTAATCCCAGCGGCTCCTGAGGCTGAGACAAGAGGATCTCGAGTTCAAAGCCAGCCTCAGCAAAAGTGAGGCGTGAAGCAACTCAGTGAGACCCTGTCTCTAAATAAAACACAAAATAGGCTGGGGATGTGGCTCAGTGGTCAAGTGCCCCTGAGTTCAATCCCCCATCCTCGAAAGAAAACACAGACATTTGGAAGAGGGGATGATGTCTGACTCTGAGCTAGACGCCTGAGGATCACTTTTGGAGCCCTCCCCAGGGTGACCACACAGCTATGTCCACTGAGAATAGCCCTCCCCGGCGTGACAACAGTGCTACATTCACTGAAGAGAACATGCTTTGCAGATGCAGGTGAATATATCTAGGCCATTCCACGTGGTTTTGAAACTTTCCACGTTAATCACAGAAGTAACTTAGGCAGAAATGAAGACAGAAACACTGCCCCTTCTATGCGGGACAACCCAACTTTAGACTTCAAGGGGTACCAAGGTGCTAGTTTGGCATGAGCAGCAGCAGCCATGAGGGAATAGCAAGGGGCATGTCAACAAAACTGCAAGATTTGATGTTTCCCACACCGGTTTCTCTACAAAATAACAGCAATTAAAACAATGACCAACAGTTACATTGAAGGATTGCATGCACTTCATATCCAAAAGTAACTAGGAGATCCAGGTTCCACCGGTAGAAAAGGGAAAGTAAGGTTCATAAACTAAGCGCTGCCTCCATTTAGACAGATGCATATCAATGCAAGGTTAATCAAGGTCCACAAACGGGCAGGACCAAGGCCCAGGCATAAGTGCTGATGACTTTCGCAGAGGCTTACCAGGTCATGGAAATCAAAGCAGGGGGAAGGGAGTTTCCTCTGTTTTTTTAGTTTATTCTACTAAAATGTACACAATTCTTGACATAAAAATCTGGACAGTCCAGGGGAAAGACACATCAAATAAAACCTCTAACCTGCTAAACCCTCAACGCTTTACGAGTGACCTTGTGAGGAGCCCGGCCCCAAGGACACCACGCGTGACGTGACAAACGCACCGCAGAACATCCTTGCAGACAGCTCAGGAGCACCTCCCTTCTCAGGGTCAACCTACACGGCGGCCCAGGTAGCCGCCCCGTCTCGGGTCACGCAGCCCGCCACCGCGCAGTCCGACCCCCGCCTGCCTTCTCGGCGACCCGGGCCCAAGGCCGTCTTCGTCCCCCGCGCTACGGGGCCAGCGGCGTCCTCTCGGGACCCTGTGGGCCCGCTGCTATCGCTCGCCCCCGGCCGGTCTCCGCCCGGGCCGACGGAGCTCGACGCCCGACACCTACCATGCTCGCAGGCGCCGCAGCCCAGCCGGCCCTTTGCGCAGGCGCGTGCTGTCCCGCCCCCGCCGGCCCTCTGCGCAGGCGCATCCCGCCTCGCCGACCGCCGGCTCTCTGCGCAGGCGCACGCCGTCGGGCTGCCCCTGGGGCTTTCTCCCTCCTCCCAGCTTCCGGCTTGTACGGCGTCGCCCCCTCTGTGCCAACGGTTCTGCCGCTCCTCCTTCGGAGGCCGCCACCGACCTGCGGCTCTCAGGCCTCGAGTCCACTGGGAGGAGGAGGAGGGAGACCGACGGCACGGCGGAACTCCAGCTCCCGGCGTGCTCCGCGCCGCGCAGGGGCCGGCAGGACCGCCCACGCCCCGCCCTCTTAAAGAGGCCGCGCCTCGCTCTTTGGCCCTGGAGGAGTTGCCCGCGCGGGGAGAGGGCGGTGGCGGTCATTCGCCTCCTGGTCTCGTCTCCGGTTCCGCGTCCGATCCCGCGTCCCGTCTTTCCCCAGGCCGCCAAGAGAAGGGATGCGGGGAAACCCGCGTCCAGAGCTTTGCTCGTGGCGCCGCGGAGCTCCGGATAGAGGACACTGATGCTTGGGCTGAACGTCCAGGGCGCGGCTACCTCGTCCCGGTGAGGGCCGTGGGTGCGCTGGGCCCCGTCCGTCCAGCGGCGTGCCCCAGGGGGCCCCTTCCCTGCGTGGGGCTCCCGCCCAGGAGACGCCCCTTCCCGGCGAGGGGCTCCCGCCCAGCAGAGGCCCCTTCCCGGCGAGGGGCTCCCGCCCAGCAGAGGCCCCTTCCCTGCGAGGGTCTCCCGCCCAGCAGAGGCCCCTTCCCTGCGAGGGTCTCCCGCCCAGCAGAGGCCCCTTCCCTGCGAGGGTCTCCCGCCCAGGAGACGCCCCTTCCCTGCTAGGGGCTCCCGCCCAGCAGAGGCCCCTTCCCTGCGAGGGTCTCCCGCCCAGGAGACGCCCCTTCCCTGCTAGGGGCTCCCGCCCAGCAGAGGCCCCTTCCCTGCGAGGGTCTCCCGCCCAGCAGAGGCCCCTTCCCGGCGAGGGGCTCCCGCCCAGCAGAGGCCCCTTCCCTGCCTGGGGCTCCCGCCCAGCAGAGGCCCCTTCCCTGCCTGGGGCTCCTTGGTGGGGCGTCCTTGGGGATCCTCCCTCACCAGGGGCCCCGGAGTGGGCGTTCCTTTGTGTGTGTGGGTCTTTCCCACAGGGGCTCTTCCCCGAGGGAGCATCTTCTCTGGGAGCGTCAGGGGGATCTTCCCTGATAGGCTTCTTCTCGTGGGCATTCTTCCTCCTGGGTGGGTGTAGGCTTGTGGGGCTTTCTTCCCTGAGAGCTACTTTTGGTGGGGCAGGTTTCCCTCTGGAACAATACTCCTGGGTCTCTCCTTGGTGGGTGCTCCCCTTCCCAGAGGATTCCTTCCTGGGGGCTCCCCTCCCCTAATGGGCACTAAGAGGTCACCTATCCTGCCCCCCCTTACTGGTCTGTCTTGCCCTGTGTTAAGGCGAATTAGCAGTCGTCCTTTACCGTCTCTTTAAAGACAGATACACCTGGCAGCAGACCCAGGTTTGCTGATCAGGGCCAGCATACGGTGTTCCGCAAGCCTTTCACTTAAGCTGACAGAGCCTGGAAGGTGTCAGAGTAGACAAAATAACCAGGATGGTTTGCACATCCCCTGGGAGGCCTTAGTTCATAACCTATCTGTGAACTGTTTGGGAGTGACCAATTAAATAAGTCCAAAGTGACAGAAGGTCTAGCATATCTGCCCGCCTCACTGTCCCACCTCTTTTTGCTCCTTTGCAGCCTCTTGCAACCCTTCAGAAGGAGAAGGGGGACTGGGTAGACTTTGTGACTTGGTCTTTACTAGCCAGTTCACCTCCTGGCCACCTAGTACAGGTTTCTTGCTGCTGAGAGGGCACTTATTCACGAGTCTCCTTTTTCCTTCCTTGTTGGCTTTCTTGGCACTGAAGGAGGAGCTAACCTGAGCAGCTGGCCTGCAGCTCCTTGTATGGCCCTGCTTCTCTCTGTTCTTTGACAGTCTCACCTGGTACCACCTGAGCAAACAGTAGCTATTTAAACACCCTGAGGGACACTCAAGGTTGCACACCACATCCCTGTTTTCCTGCTCAGCCTCTGCACATTTTCCTGATCATTCTTAGAACCAGAACTTATTGGTCTTGCATATTGTCTGTTTTTTGTCAAACAGTAGAATCTCGTGATTGGATTAACTAATGAAATATTTGCTTTTTCTAGAGGTTTTATAGTTTAAAGCTTTTTAATAGCCTCAGTAATTACCTTCTTTTCCTTTCCTTCCTCCTCCTTGTTCTCTAATTCTTTTACTAATTTGAAATGAATAATGTATTTATAAATCATTTATTTCATTTTTGGCAACTGTCAGTTTATTTGTAGGATCATAAGTGCTCCATTTTTAGGAAATGTACTTTAAAGTTTAAAATTGGTCTTTAAGAAAAAGGCTCCATAAAGAGACTTCAGGTCACTCACTCCATTGAGGTGGTCTTGCCTGCTCGTGGCTCTCTTCCTCTTTGCCTGCACAAATGCTGCCTGTGCTGAACTTGGACATGTGGCAGTAATGTGAAGAAATCAGAGGCACCTCCTGTTTTTTCTCTTGCAGGAGAAGCTAGATGACTCTCTGTTAGACACGTACTCAGCTCCCTACACATTCACCACAGGCTCAGGAATTCCCTGCCAGAGACCCACAGGGAGCTGCCCTCCCACTCACTAGGGCCCTAGCTTCAGCTGAATGGACCAAGGTAGCCACCAGGAGCTGGCTGTCCCCACAGCTGTCCCCCAGCTTTGCACACTCAGGAGAGAAGTTGGCCTGGTAGGGACCATCTCGGTTGTGGCATCTACCTGATAGACCCACCTGATGGTGCCACTTCACACTCTAGGGATGGCTAAGTCGACTTTATTTCCCACAGTGTGGCTTGGTGCACACTGAGCAAATGGGTTGCACAGGTCCCAAGGAAGAGAGGGCAGAAGTTATCTGATAGGCCAAGGAGAGCACCAGCTTCTCAGAACTCATGCAGACACACAGCATGGAGGTTCCCTAAAAGCACTGCCCCGATGCTTGTCCCCTGTGCTCTGTAGCAGGTGCTATGTGCTGCCCCCGTACCTGAGGGCCCTTGCTCTGGGTATCGAACCCAGGGGTGCCCTACCATTGAGCTACATACTGGTCCTTTATTTTTAGACAGGGTGTTGCTGAGCTGCTTAAGATCTCACTGAGTAGCTGTGGCTGGACTTATGAGTCCCTTCCCTCAGCCTCTGGAATCTCTGAGATGATGGGCATTTGCCACCGTGCTTGGCTCAGAGTGTTGATTTTGCTCTTGTAAATAGAAAGTGTCACTGGTAGGCTGCACTGTAGAGCTGCAGCCATCCCTGTGCTTGGCCTATTCGCAGATGGACCCCATGCCTACCCACTGGCGGACTCCCTTGCCTTGTGTGTGCTCCAGTGAGTGCAGGTGAGGGGCTGTGCTGGCTCCTTCCAGCATTTCCATCCCTGGAGGATCCTAGTCCCTTTTAGCCACACCTCTCCCCCTCCCTCACCCTGAGAGCCACTCATCTGTCCTGCGTCCTGTGCCACTGTGAGGCACTTATGTAAAGGGAATTGTGTAGTATGTGGCTTTTGGAGGTCCCTTTACTCAGCCTCAAGATCTGTTCATGTTGTTGAACATATCGATAGTTCACTATTACAAGAATCCAAATGTCTTGTCAACAACTAAAAAAATAACAACTGGAAGTAAAAATATTTAAAGTTTGCTCAAGAGAAAACGTGGTATAATTTAGTAGTCCATAGGATTTTGTAGACAGGCTTGAAAGTAAAATGAGTGATGTGCATTAAGAATGTATAAGTGCAGGGCACAGTGGCACAGGCCTGTAATCCCAGGAGCTTGGGAGGCTGAGACAGGAGAATTGTGAGTTCAAAGCCAGCCTCAGCATCTGTGAGACCCTGTCTTTAAATAAAATACAAAATAGGGCTCGGGATGTGGCTCAGTGGTTGAGTGCCCCTGAGTTCAATCCCTGGTACTAAATAAATAACTAAATAATAAGTAAATATACACACACGTATGTATGTATGTATGTATGTATGTATGTAATTTCAATATCATGCTCATGTTACGAAACATCTCAGTGGTGAATATCAATGTGACTGCAACTGAAATCCTAAAAGAAAAATCAGTAACTCCCTTAGGTGTGGGGGTAGAGGGGTGACTTTAATTTCCAGAACCAGGTTGAGGAAAGAACCAGAAGTGTGCACAGAGAGGTGGCACGTGCAAACTGCATTGCGAGTTGTTTTTCTGAAGCATGAAACCACAAAAGAACCACTTTTAGGGCTGGGAATTTACGTAATGGTAGAGTACTTGCCCAGCATGTGAAGGTCCTACTTCAATTCCTAGTACTGCAAAAAAAACTCACCTTTGGAGACGTTCTGGGGCAGATGGGAAGCATGAAGGAAGCGCCTCAGATTTCTGTCTGGGTCTGGAGGTCTCCTCCCAGCAGGTCCTCACTGCTCTGCAGCGGGCTCGAAGCTGGCATCGTAGAGATGGGTGCTTTGCTAGGAGCTGAGCTGCAGCCATCCTTGTGCTGCATTAGCTCAGTCCTTCCAGGGTCTGGCTTCTAAAAGATGCACTGAAATCCAGCTCTGAGTTTCTGTGATAGAAAAGGCTTGAACAGTTAGTAGGGGTTATAGGTATTTTATTATTATTTTTTAAATTTTTCTATCTTCATCTCTTATTAGCTCTTAACTGTGCTGACTTTGGAAATTTGGCAAGACTCCAAGTGATTCTGGAAAGCCAGCAGTGTGACTGAGGGGCCATGTCTCAGGAGATGGCCTTTCTGAAATGCTCCTGAACATGGTCCCAGAGGCTTGCCAACCTGAGATGGTGTTTTCTGGGCTTTGATATGTATAGTCCCTCTTGGGTAGAACTGGCCTTTATCTTTCATACATGGTAGATTTGGTAGAAATACAAAGCTTAAGATTTCTAAAAATCACCTTTAAAATGAGATCTAACTGACCTTTAATCTCCCCTCTGTGCCAGGCACCCTAAGAGGCTCTTACTTCATCACTTAGTGTTTGATTGAAGTGGTTCAGATGTTGTTAGTGATCCAGGAAAAATGGCATTTCCTTTAGAAAGCTTACAGTGTCCTGGATGTTGTTGGTATTTAACTCAGGTCAGTAGCGGTGAGCTGTAGTTCAGCCATGTGTGACAGGAAATCTGTTTTTCAGCTGAAAATGTGCATGTAAGATGCAGCCTGACCCGAGCTGCCGTCTGGAGCCCTTGCTGTGCTGGGACCATGAGGGCCTTGGAGGAGAGTCTCTTCTGGATGCTGCTCCTGGCCCTCTGCTTGGTGGCAAGTGCCACAGAGCATGCGGAGGTGGCAAAACATGCCATCAAGCTGCACCGCGGCAAGGGAGCACCTGCCGCCCAGAGGAGGCAGTGGGCCCTGGACAGCTGCAGGAAGCTCACCGGGCTCCTTCGGCAGAAGAGTGTTGTTCTCAACAAGCTGAAGAGTGCTATCAGAGCCGTGGAAAAAGATGCTGGCCTGTCAGATGAAGAGAAGCTGTTCCAGGTGCACACGTTTGAGATTTTCCAGAAAGAACTGAATGAAAGTGAAAATTCCGTCTTCCAGGCCATCCACGGGCTGCAGAGAGCCCTGCAGGGGGATTACAGAGACGTGGTCAACATGAAGGAGAGCAGCAGGCAGCGGCTGGAGGCCCTACGGGAGGCCGCCATCAAGGTCAGCCATGTGGCCAGTCCTGCCCAGAGCTGTGATCTGGGGTGGGGCGGGGGGTCTCGGGAGCCTCTGGGGTGCCAGTCACTTCTAGGAGAGGCCAGCCCTTCAGCACTCTGTTGTGGAGATCCCCGAGTCTGGCTGAGCTCTGATGGGCGGGAATGCCTGCAGCCTTGCGCTCCTGTGAGGGCTCAGCCACCTGCAGTGGGCCTGAGAGTGTCCATCAGTGACTCCCTGACCAGCCCAGTGTGTGCAAGGATTCTGGCCTACGTGCAGCGGCAGAGTTGCCTTTCCAGGCACTTCTCAGAACACAGTGCCATCGTCCTTGAGGGACGCTGGCTGCAGCTGTGACCTGGGTCTCTTGCCATATTCTTTTCTGAGTGAAGCCTGTGTTCTTCATTGCCTTACAACAAAAACAAAAATATAAAAATACTTATAAACAGATGTGTGCACGTGAGGTGAGGCTTTGGACCAAGTGTGCTTCTAAAGGGGGCCACTGTGCCAGTGTTTCCACAGGCACTGCCGAGCACCTGCAGCTTGCCAGGCGCCACACCCAGGCTCCGTCGAGCAAGTGCCACTTCCCCCTCATGGAAGACCTCAGGCTGTCACGGCTTGAAAGGAGATATAACTTTCTTATGACTGTCACCAAAACAAGGGTGTTTTTTGGTAGGATACAACAGTCAGACAAGCATTCAAATCAAGGCATTCAGTGACCTGACTTGGCTGCCTGCCTGTTGCTGCCTGCCTATCGCCCATGTTTCAACCTTGGGACAGTCGAGGTGCTAAGACCCTTTTTTTGTTTGTTTTAATATTTTTTAATTTGTTGATGGACCTTTATTTTATTTCGATGTGGTGCTGAGAATTGATCCCAGTGCCCCATACATGCTAGGCAAGCACTGTACCACTGAGCTACAACTCCAGCCCCGACCCTTTGGTTATAAGAGGAATTCCGGTGGACTCCAGGTTTGCAGTCGTCTGTTAGGGAGAAGACTTGTGAGTCTGGTGGCCACAGTCCAGAATTGTAGGCCATGTGACACCCTGCATGCTTCAGCCTGTGCCTGTCATGCCTCAGGGTTCTGTGGTCCTCCAGGGTGTCAGCAGCCACCGTTGGGGCACTTGGGAAGGGACAGGGGTTACAGCAATCACAAAAGAGCCACACTGCTGTGGTAGCTGGCCACGGCTCGGTCCCAGCCAGGTTCCCTTCTTGAAACATGAGAAAACGTTTTAAAAGTAAGGTTATCAGTTGACTAGGGTTATGTAAAGTATGTTTACTAAGCGTGATGACCAGCACTGCCCATGAGTGTCCCAAATAACCAACACTTTCTACTTTATGTGTTTTTCTGGACCCGTTAGTCGCCCCTGTCTGATGGGATGGGACCACATCCTGCTGTAGAAATCCCAGAGGTAGCTACACACCAGGTGTTGCTGCTGGCTTTCAGGCAGGGATGTGCTTCCTGAGCGGCAGCACTTGGCAGTTTGTGAGGTGACCTTAAGGGATGTTTGACCCACCTGCAGTGGACACTGCCTTCCCAGGGGTGGAGGTGCAGATGCTGTCCCTGAGCTGGACCCACCTGCAGGGGACACTGCCTTCCCCGGGGTAGAGGTGCAGATGCTCTCCCTGAGCTGGACCCACCTGCAGTGGACACTGCCTTCCCCAGGGTGGAGGTGCAGACGATTTCCCTGAGCTGGACCCACCTGCAGTGGACACGGCCTTCCCTGGGGTGCAGATGCTGTCCCTGCACATTCCGAAGCTCCCTGTGTTTGGTATGCTTGACCTCCTTTGCTGGACAGTCAGTCACAGTGCAGCGGTGGGGCATTGACCTGGAGCACCGGTGGTGGGTCTAGTCACCAGGACCCTGAGCAGATGAGTCCCCTCCTGGTTTTTCTTGTAATGTATCTTGCCCTTTCCTACGAACAAATAGGAAGAGACCGAGTATGTGGAACTTCTCGCCGCAGAAAAACATCAGGTGGAAGCCCTTAAGCACATGCAGCATCAGAACAAGAGCCTCTCCATGCTGGACGAGATCCTCGAGGACGTGAGGAGGGCGGCAGATCGCTTAGAGGAGGAGATAGAGGAGCATGCCTTCGATGACAACAAATCAGTAAGCTGCCTTCCGGCGCCTCTGCCCTGCGAGCCGAGCTGCTGGGCCTGGCCATCGGTTTGGCTATGTCTCAGGGTCTGCGAGCGACACGCTGGTACTCTGGCAGGGGCTGCAGGAGTGGGCGGCCAACCTGCTCCTTCGACCCCTGGCACTCACTGCCAGCCCAGCTTGGCCACTCACGGGGCTTGGGACTGTAGCCTCAGGAGGCTTGGAGGGTTCCTTCCTGATCAGAGGAAGCAGGTTCCAGCTGCTCAGTTCTGACAGGCTAAGACCCTGGGGCGAGATCAAGGCCAGCTGAGAACTGGCTGTGGGTCTAGGGGTGGACCCACGAAAGGGTGGAGAGAAAGAAACGGAAACTGATATTTAAATTCTCAGTTTCTGGGGTCAAGTGTGAGCGTGTGCCCTGCATCAGGTCAAGCGGATGTCTGGAAGTAGCAACGGCTGCTTCTGCCCAGAAATGCTTCATTGAGCGAGTGCCTTCATCATGCTGGTGGTCTTCTGTCTTGTTAGACACAATGTGAACACGTCTACCTTGATGTATGTTCTTTCCTCTTGATGTTGACTGCAAAAGCATCAACATGATTCTGATTGCATGATATTGGTCACTCTCACAGGTCAAAGGGGTCAACTTTGAGGCAGTTTTGCGGGTGGAGGAGGAAGAGGCCAGTTCCAAGCAGAATATCACAAAGCGGGATGTGGAGGAGGGCCTGGGCTTGAGCATGCTGATCGACTCCCAGAATAACCAGTATGTCCTCACGAAGCCCCGGGACGCCACCATTCCACGTGCAGACCACCACTTCATAAAGGCAAGCTGAGGCCACCCGCCCATCTCGCTGGGCAGTCAGCAGGCCTGACCTGATGCGGGGCCCCCTCGGAGGGGGGTGGTGCACAGCCTTCCTCCTGCCAGAGAATGCTGGCATCCCATGCTGGGCTTCAAGACAGCATCCCTTAGTTAATTGTTTCTAAAGGAAAAAGGCATTTTGACATTTAAGATGAAGTTTAATTCTGTTTTGGAGAATTTGGAGGACTTTCTGAAGTTTGGAGTGACCATCATGAGATTAAAGCTCTCGGTGTCTGAGACCTGTTTGAGCGGTTGACTGAGGCAGGAGGATTGCTGGAGCCCAGGGGTTTAAGACCAGTCTAGCAACATAGCAAGGCGCCATCTAAAATTATAACCTGAGGTTAAAGAAACAAACTCTTTTCTATAAAAGAGAAAGCCCTTTGAGGCAGAGAAGTGTGGATGTGGGGCACAGGGCGTTGCATTCCAGGTAGACGGATGTAGATTTGTGTCCTCCCAGGAAGCTGGCCCAGTCTGGAGTGGAGTGCACCCTCCAGGTGGCCTGGAGGGATCAGATAAGCTCAGATCTCCACAGAACTCTTAAGGCAGAGCCTTGCAAGGAACAGAAACCAAACAGAGAGGCGTGGCCTCGGTTCCAGGGAAGAGGGCTCCTCCCAGGCGCTGGCCCGGGACTGTGTCCTGCTGTCCTTGATTGTGAAAGAACAGGCCATGTCCGTAGAGCAACTCCGTGCCTCCTTCACAGCAGTCCCTTTCTCCCGTTGCCATGAGTAAGTCGCGTCTGGGGGTGTGTTTGAGACTGTGAACAGCCTGCTCCCAGTAAGTTCTCACCCAATGGTTCTGACACCTGTGGAAGACTTGCCCGTATGGGTGACAAGCAGGAGAGTCATAGGGAGGACCCCATCTGCAAGGGCTTTGAGGCCAGGAATGGGTGGAGTCCAGGGCTGGGAGATGTGGAGCATGCTGTGGGGCGTGAGCAGGACGAACCAGAGCTGGCTCGTCTGCTCCCGACACGGTGTGCTGCGCTCTGCTGCAGACACAGCAGTATAAAACCTCTCAGTCCTGTTGTCTGCTGGTTCCTGTAAGGGGCTGGCCGTCATCCTGCTGTCCTAGCCCACCCGACGCCTTGATCTGTGCTTGTCTGTTCCGCTCTAGGACATTGTCTCCATAGGTGTGCTGTCCTTACCTTGTGGCTGGCTGTGCACAGCAATAGGGCTGCCCACCATGTTTGGGTACATCATCTGCGGTGTGCTTCTGGGGCCTTCAGGACTGAACAGCATCAAGGTAAGAATAAAACTTGACTGTTCTGATACCGGACAGGACAGAGAGACACACAGACAAGAGCTCTGAACTGGAGTCAGTGAAGAGCCGTCCTCACCCCGGACCAGGAACACACCCTAGAGCTGGAGGCATTGCCCTCCATAACGAAGGGGCCGCTGGGCAGAAGGCAGCCATTGGCCTCCATGGTCATCAGCCTCAAGGTTCTGTTTCCAGTCACCCAGATGTCCTCAGGCGCCAAGCTGTTGGAAGGGCTGGGTCCCTCCTGTGCTTGTGCAGTCCTCAACGTACACCAGGAGCGCCTGTGGCCCCGTTGCCAGGGCAGCAGGGCCCGGGCTGCTCTTGCCAGAGCTTCTCACAGACCAGTTGCTGCTTGTCACAGGTGAACACTCTGACAGCAAGGAAGGGTCCCAAGCCTTGTGGCCTCCCAGCGTGTCATCTGAGCACACTCAACATCCCAGGAGGCTAAAGATGAGCCACAAACGCCCCCCAGCTTTGCTGGTGTGTCCTGGGCCGTGGGGTGAGGAGCCCTGCTCCCCCACTAGTGACTGGTACGCCTTAAACCTCTGATTTTTCCGACATAGCAGAAAGGGTCTGAAGAGGGACCATTTGGGGCTCCTCTGAGCAGCAGGTGGCCCTGGCCAGCCGCAGAGCTGCCTGCCAGCGCCTTCAGCCGGGAGCTGTCAGCTGACCTGACGCAGGGCCACATGGAGGCTGCTCGCCCCCTGGTAGCACAGAGAGCCCTCAGTGTGGCTTTCTGCACTGGCACCGAGTGCGGCTCAGCATCAGGGAAGGCTGCAGGCGGGAGCTTCCTGCCTCATCCCACCCTTCCAGGCGTCAGCAAGTCCAGGCAGACACGGTGCCCTCTTCCTCCTCAGCAGAGATAGCGGGAGCAGGCTCAAGGCAAAGGGCCTGGAGCTGCAGACGCTGATCTTGCTAAGTTGCGGCACTGAGGAAGGAGGCGTGGTTGCAGATGGCCATCCAGGAGCACCTTGTAGGAGTGGGAAAGGCCCCTGTGCAGGGGGCTCAGGCTTCCACTCCCGAGTTCAGGTTGTTGTTTTGGAGTCACAGCACAATCAGGGAACGGGAAGAGAAGTGAGAGAGAGCAGTTGGATGTGGGTAAGGGCAGGGCTGGGTTTGCCAGCCAGTGCAGGGAGGCGCTCTGTCGGCAGCTGAGGTTCACCCACAGCGCCAAGAAGAGCACCAAGCAGCACTCAGCAGCTGAGAAAGGCAGACGGCGGGGTGCCAGTCACAACAGGAAGGGGACTTGACCTGTGAGGCCAGCTCAGTGGGTCAGGACAGTGCCATGGGAGCATTTTAAAAGATGGAGCTGGGCACCTGTATCCCAGCATCTCTGGAGGTTGAGGCAGGAGGGTGGCAAGTTCAAAGATAGCCTCAGCAGCTTAGTGAGACCCTGTCTCTAAATAAAAAATAAACAGGTCTGCGAATGTGGTTCAGTGGTTAAGCACCTGTAGGTTTAATCCCCAATACCAAAAAAAAAAAAAAAAGGATTGAACTGTTAGTCACCAGGACAGAGACATCACATATTTTGTGCTATTTATTTATCTAGTGACAACATTAAAAGTAAACACCAAATGAAGAGTCAAAGCAGTCACAGAAGCTGTTCACCAACACTGTGGATGTGGGCATTGAACTCGGGGGAAGATACATCTGTAGGGACTTGCTCGGCCCTAACAGGAGCCAAGAGCGAGCAGCGCTGAGTGAGCTGCCTCCTCATCCCAGAGGTGGCCAGTGAACAGTGCTGGGGAGGCCCAGAGCAGCTTGCAGACAGCGGAGAGAAGCATGCTTCTCTGTGAATCAAGACAAGGGGAAGACCCTGAGGGCAGAACTCGTCAGATGTAGGAGAAATTCCAGGAATTGTTCTCTTTTAAAGTACCAGTGTTGGGGGCTTCCTGCCGGGGACCAGCACCAGGGTGGGTGTGGGGGCTTTCCCTGGAGGCCTGGACTCACACAGCCTCTCCACCCTTGCTCTGCAGTCCATGGTCCAGGTGGAGACTCTGGGAGAGTTCGGGGTCTTCTTCAGTCTCTTCCTCGTTGGCCTGGAGTTCTCCCCGGAGAAGCTGAGAAAGGTGAGGCTGTGTCTTAGCACCATGTGGCTTGTCACGTCCGGTGTTCAATGACAACTTGGCTGTTGAATTTCATATTTTTAGGATAGAACGTGTTATTTTAGTCTGATATACTATTTTTAGGGCATAAGTTTCTAAAGATAAAAAATGTTCCATTTGTTAAAGTTAAGATCTAATAAATGAAGTTAACTTTCCTGTGGCTAAGGTCAAGAAATAATGTTCCACCTTAATATGTGGGCCCTTCCAAGAAGGTGCCAGACTTTGGGGTGGAACACCGCAGACGGGTACTCAGTGCTTCCCTCGGGGGGGAGTCCCACCACGGGCCGTGAAGACGCTCAGGTTTTCAGCAGATGCTTTGGGATGAAAAAAGCCATTGAAGGTGGTGGGGATACAGTGAACATCATAGGCATCCAAAAGAAAGTCACACTTGTCCGTGCAGGGTAAGGAGGGAGGACCTCGCCACCCACTGCCCTTGCCCTCTGTCTCCCATTAGCTCTAGAGCCTCCGACCTGATCCTTTTCCCAGGTCTCCACCCGAGGAAGTGTTGCGATGGGCAAAGTGCGACATCTGCCATTTTCAACGCTTTATTCACTCAAAATCACTCAATATAGTTTCACTATAGGTTCTTAATCAGGGAATGACAATCCTTAATGCTGGGCACTGCAGTAGACATAATCAGTTCAAAGCAAGCAATTCTTAGTTAACTCTAAGCACTTCAAACACACTTAGTCACGACAGACCTATCACAGACAGTCCCTCTGCAGGCTGAGCTTAAGTGCTAGATTTAAAGTCTTGAGTCTTAGGTCTTAAACCCAGCAGGTGTCTACTCAGAACACAGCGCCCAGGCCAGGAACCGATAGCTTCTCCTGGGGTGGAGCTGACGGTTGGTGAGGAGAGGGTGTTAGGAGAGGTCGCTGTTCTCACCAGGTCAGGAGGCTGCTGTAGAGTTTGAGAGCCGTGAGGACAACGCAGAGGATCAGGCAGATGATGAGAAGAGCTGGGCTGTCTGTCCAGGTGCTCACCAGGCTCTCAGGCTGTGTGCGTCAGTGTCAGCTGGCTGGATGTCCTTTTGTTCCATTATTCATACTAAATCTTGGAGCTTCTGCGCATCCTTTGGGTCCCTATCAGCTGTTACCAGGTTTCTTAGTGACAACTTTCATTCTTAGAGTCAGGACATGTGGTTTGGTGGTTTCTGCCCTGATATCACACTTTTGACTCTTATCAGGGTTATGACAAATGACATGTGACTTCACTCTCTTACCTGGGCTCTGTGGCTTGCCTGGTGAGACTGCAGTTTTATTTTAAAATGGAGTTTTAAAATGGACTTGCTTAGGCTAAGGCCTAAGGCCATCCTTACAGGAAGGAGCCACTCAGAAGACATTTAGAAGGTTCACCCGGAGTCTGAGCTCCTCGCACTGCAGGTTCAGCCTGAGTCTGGTGGCCAGTCACACCGTGGCATAACGACTTGGGAAGGTTATATGCCCATTGTCACAAGAACAAAGAAGAGACTTTGTTGTAGCTCTGACCTTAAGAAGAGATGAGCCTGGGGTTGTGGCATGCACCCATGGTCCCACGCACCTGGAGGGTACGACTTTGAGGCCAGCCTGGGCTGCACAACAAGACTGTCATAAAGGTGGGCTCGGACATGGTGGCCACCAAGGGAGCAGAGATGTGTGGGGAGCAGGGTGGGGCATGATGGCAGGCGCCATGCCCCTCCATTGCCTGAATTGTCTGTGGCCATAGCATCACTCCTTTATCCAAGGAAAAGTAAACTTTTAGAGGCTTGTTTGCTTTCCAGAGTTCTGGGCCTTTACACCTGTCTCCCACCTGCTACTGCGGCCCCTGGTTCCTAGGCCCTTTCTGGCTCTCCCATCTCCCTCTGCTCCCAGCCCACGCGCTGTAAGTCCTGCCTCCTGGCGAGGCTCCGGGACCGCCCGTTCCCCACTGCTCCCTTCTGGGGCTTGTCTGGCTTCCTCTGCTTCCAACCTGAGAACCCTTGTTGGTTTAATTTCCAAACTCGGAGTTTAAAGAAAGCTGACCTCTTTCCTGGGTCCTATAAGTGGCCGTTCCTCCTGTGAGTTTTCTGGAGTGTGTTGTGAGGGGGCGTGGGGCAGGCCAATGGGTAAGGGTCTCTGGGGTGCCCTGCATCAGCAGAGTGGCCGTCTGCCTCTGGTGTCATCTTGCGTGGCTCGGAGCGTGAGGCCTCGGCTTCCAGCACGGTGGGCTCCTGGGCCTGCTGTGGGGCTTTACCAGCGCCTCCAGGGCCAGGGGCAGCTGAGAGCCAGCGAGGGGAGGTGATACTGCCAGGTACAGTGACGGTCATAGGAGAGTGTCCTGCTCCCCAGTGTGGAAGGAGAACACTAGAGGCCCCTGAGGCTGCCCATGAAGCAGGGCTTACTTAAGAGGGGTCTAGGTGACTCTCCTGGGAGGGGAGGGGCCACAGCTGGTGTCCTGGTGTCCCCAGGAGCGAGGTGTCCTGCCTGCTCACATGTCCCGGGCTTCCTTTGCTCTGCTGCCCTCTCCCCTCCTCTCTCTCCCTCCTGTTACGTGACCAGGCCAGGAGTGCCCAGGGATGCTCGGTGGGAGGCCCAAAGGTGGGAACCAGGTGGGCTGAGGGGAAGGGCAGGGTGGAGCAGCCCTGGACACCTTAACTAAAGGCCTTATAGCTCCCTGTAGGGAGGGGCAGCTCCTGGGACAGGTGACCTTGGCCACAGGTTGGAGCTGGGGCAGGTTCTGGATCAGGGTGGAGGAAGGGCTCTGAAGGCATTTCAGTCCCTCAGGGGACAGTCTCCAACTTCCAGACGCACTCAGAACTGGCCTCCTTGATCCAACCTGATCAATTTACTTGTCTGTACTGATTGCTTATCTAATTCTGGCTTCAGGGGGTCCTGCTTCTGCTACCCGGAAGAAGGACATTATGAGTCTAACTAAACCTTGTGGATATCAGTCTCCTAAAAATTTGGGAGATCAAAGTTTCTTCTGCCCGTAAATTTTCCTGTCTCATATTTTTCTAACATAGTGTTCCAGGTGAAGCAACCGCAGGCAGTTGGCAGGGGTGGTCAGGTAGTTGGGAGCAGCATGAAGCCAGGTGCCTGGCGACCATGTGCTTTTCATCGCCTGCGGGGTGGGCTGGCAGGAGGGCTGCAGGCTGTTGGTAGGTGCTGGGCTGGTGTGCAGGGTGGGTGGGGAGGGGGGCTATAGGCTGTTGGTAGGCGCTTGGCTGGGATGCAGGGTGGGTGGGTGGGGCTGCAGGCTGTTGGTAGGTGCTGTGCTGGGATGCAGGGTGGGTGGGTGGGGGCTGCAGGCTGTTGGTAGGTGCTGTGCTGGGATGCAGGGTGGGTGGGTGGGGGCTGCAGGCTGTTGGTAGGCGCTTGGCTGGGATGCAGGGTGGGTGGGGGCTGCAGGCTGTTGGTAGGTGCTGGGCTGGGATGCAGAGTGGGAGGGGAGGGGGGCTATAGGCTGTTGGTAGGTGCTGGGCTGGGATGCAGGGTGGGTGGGGAGGGGGACTATAGGCTGTTGGTAGGCGTGCTGGGCTGGGAGGGGGGCTGTAGCTGTTGGTAGGCGTGCTGGGCTGGGAGGGGGGCTGTAGCTGTTGGTAGGCGTGCTGGGCTGGGAGGGGGGCTGTAGCTGTTGGTAGGCGTGCTGGGCTGGGAGGGGGGCTGTAGCTGTTGGTAGGCGTGCTGGGCTGGGAGGGGGGCTGTAGCTGTTGGTAGGCGTGCTGGGCTGGGAGGGGGGCTGCAGGCTGTTGGTAGAGGTGCTGGGCTTGGGGCACCGCTATGGAGTGTAAGATGCTGGACCAAGCCCGGCTCCCGTGTGCCCACTCTGAGCCAAGGCTGGGCTGCCAGTGCTTCTCACCCTGTTCCCACGGCGTCCGCAGCTCAGCTGTTGCCATCCTCAAGTCTTTGCTGCTCTCACTGGGGGCAGCCCCAGGCCTGGATGGTCAGCCCCAGGCCTGGACGGCACCTTGACCCTGGTTCTCATTGCCGGGAACCTCCCGTGGCCTCGAGCTGCAGAAGGTTGCTGCTGCCTTCACAGGTAGTCCCCGTGTTCTCCATGAGAGAGGACGGACTTGGCGCAGCAGGTGGCTCTGCCCGCCAGCGAGTGCTGCAGGCGCTCCTGAAGCAGCAGCTACGGAGGCCTCCGAGGACCCAGGCAGCGCAGCCTTCCCATCCTGGCCACCAGCGTTTGTGGTCACCCTGCCTCACAGTCGCCCTTTGAGCTCGGCTTGGACGGTTCCCAGGTTTTACCTCTTACTGGTCCACCAGGGGCTGCCCGCTGGGTGGGTCTGGGTCTCCAGGTGTGGAAGTTAGGCTTCCTCCTCCTCCGTCTTGCTCCCGTGCACCTGCGCTGTGGCAGGCCCTCCAGCAGCCCTGCCCGTGGCCTGCGTTTGCATTTTTTGGATGGCTTCCACGTTAGTCAGCTTTCCATCGCCATGGCCAGAAGTCCTGACCAGAGCAGTCTGAGGAGCAAGTTTGTTTGGGGCTCACGGTTTCTGAGGTCCAGTCCGTGGTTGGCCGGCTCCACTGCTGCCCTGTTGTGGGCCTGAGCGAGCGGAGCATCGTGGTGGAAGGACATGATGGAGGAGAGCTGTAGTTCAGGAGGCAGAGAGCAGGAGAGAATCAGTGAGACCCCAAGGCCCCTCCAGGGGTCCCTCCCAGCCACGCCCCACCTGCAAGTGTCCCACCTCAGAGCTGCTGCATTGTCACACACTCACGCATGCACGCACGCACGCGCACACAGGAGAAATGCAGGCTGGGCTGGGAGGTGGTCTGTGCTGGGGAGACCTCGCATCACTGGGCTTGCTCGGCTGTGGTTGGAGACCCCAACCTCCCTGACTTCTGAAGAATGACTGGGGAGGGGTGAGGAGCGTCTGTGCTGCAGAGTTCCCAGGGAGAGCTGCGCGGTGGCTCCACGTGGGGCCTCCAGCCAGCCTCAGCCCTGCTGCTGCACACGTGCCAGCACTGCCAGGGCCCCATCAGTGGGGATCCGAGCGCAGGACGGGTTGGTTCGATGGGGTGCGTGCAGTGAGGAGAGGGTCAGTGCTTGGAGGGAGCAGACCAGTTTCTAGTTTGTTGTCCTACAGGACTCATAAGCACCTTCTCATCTCTTCAACTAGATCCAAACCCATGAGGGTCCAACCTGGTTTCTGCTGAGCATAGACACACCTGTGATTCCAGTGACTCGGGAGGCTGAGGCAGGAGGATCGAAAGTTCAAGGCCAGCCTTGGCAACTTAGTGAGGCCCTTTCTCAAAAAATAGAAAGCACTGGACATTCGGCTCGTGGTAGAGCCCCTCGGTTCAATCCCAGCACCCAAATCCCAGTCTACAGAATGTATGTTGTGGGGACATGCCATTAAATCAATCAGGGTCACTCCAAGTGAATTTGGGCTGACTAAAAGACACAGACACAGAAAGTACCTTTTTCTTTGAGTTCAATGACCCCTCCTCACTCATGGCTCCAACTTGGGGGGGGGGCAAGGCAGGCAAGAAAGAGGAGCTCTCCTTGAATGTGGGTTTTATTAATGTGGGGAGCTAATACATAAAACATTATATCCAAAAAAGGGCAAAAGGGTAGGATTTCAGCAAACAGGTGGGTGTAATTTAACGCCATCGGGTGACCCCCGCTCCCTGAGCTGCACCTTTCTTATCCCAGTGGAGGTGATGTCTAGTTGCATTGCAGGTGCAATACCAGTTCAGTACCTCTTTACTCAGGACTTAAAGGTGTGTACATGGCTCCTGTCCAGGGCAGCTCCTGACAGTACGTAGGTTCTATAGAGAGTTTGCCTTTTATTTAGGGACTTGAGCACTGGAGAGTTGGTGTGTGGTGGAGGACCTGTAGCCAACCTGCAAGGGTCTTGAGGATCGGCTGTCCTGCCTGTGTGTGTGATCCTGGGTCGATTGTGTATGGGGTCAGAGTGGCCGGCTGTGGCCTCAAAGCTGCTTCCCCAAAGGTCAGCCCCAGTGGGTGCACGAGTTCGGGTGGCTGTCACTAGGACACATGTGACTTGCATGTGCTTTATTCCAGGTGTGGAAGATATCCTTACAAGGACCATGCTACATGACCCTGCTGATGACGGCCTTTGGCCTGCTGTGGGGACACCTCCTACAGATCAAACCCACTCAGAGTGTCTTCATTGCCACCTGCCTGTCATTGTCTAGCACTCCCCTGGTGTCTAGGTTCCTTGCAGGCAGTGCCCGGAGTGATAAAGAAGGTAGGTGAGGGGGCTCGTGTAGCTGGCGCTGGTGTGGATTTGGATCACGGGCTCATTGTCGAAGCTGTGAGCCTCCTCTTCCTCAGGACTGTCTGGGCAGCGCATGCTCAGGCTCCTGTTCTGCCCAGGGCTGGCCTGGGTCTCCCCCCTGGACTGAGAACGGTGCCCTCCCGTGCTTGCAGATTGGGTAGCCTAAGGGCCTGAGCGAAGCTGCCCTGACTTGCAACCCAGTCTCCTGCAGAACGTCCTAGGGCTCCATGGGCCAACGAGGTCAATGCCGGCCGCTTCAGCTGTGAAGTGTCCTGGGCACGGATTAGGGTTTGACACTCGTGAGCAAACCTGGGGCTTTGGTGGTGAGGGGCTGTGAGTTCCCGTGTGGTTTGGTTTCTTCTGTGCATGTGGAGTGCTGGCATCGAGCTCCCTGTGGACTGGTGAGAGGACCAGCACCAGGGCCCCACACAGGCTCTGCCTCCGTCCTCTTCCCCCCCCCCGGCAGCCCGGCCAGTTTTTCCAGCTACTCGCCCATGAAGTAAACAGGGACTGCTTTGCTCCTGCTTTGTAAGTCGGTAAGTATAAGGCCAGAGTGTCTTGGTGAATTCACCCAGAGCCAGAGCACAGGACCAGAAGGGAACGGGAACTGGGAACTTCCGGGGCGCGGCTGGGCGCAGCGGTGGAGCACTGGCCTTGCACGTCTGAGGTCCTGAGCTCGATTCTCAGCACCACACATAAACAAACCAATAGAGTAAAGGTCTGTCAGAAACGAAAAAGAAAGTTAAAAAAAAGAGGACTGACCTCTGTGCTGGGCCTGGGCACCCCCAGCCGGCTCTCCTTGAGGCCTGCGGGGGTTCCTGCTGCTGAGATGCCATGACCTCAGGCCACGGGGCAGCCCCTCCATGGGGACTCGACCAGCTGCCCCTGCTGGAGGGGCTGCATTCTTAGGACAGCCCTGTTATGGTCTGGATATGTGGTAACCCCCCCAAAACTCATGTTGACCACATAGGAATGTTCAGAGGTGGACCAAGCAGATCACAGAGCTGTGACCTCTCAGAGCATGTCACACATGACCAGTTGATGGTTGGAAGGGACTAGGACCTGACTGCAGGCAGGTGGGCGTGGCTGCAGAGCGAAGGTCAAGGGGTGTGCCCTTGGATGATGGTGCAGCCTGTCCCTGGTACGCACACGTGTGTGCACACACACACACACTCAAACACACCCCGGCTTCCATGAGCTGAGCAGGGGCCGCAGCCAGGTCCTTCGGCGCCATGATCTTCTGCCTCTCCTCAGACCTTGGCACCCTGTAGGCAGAGGCGTCAGCTGATCATGGACTGAGATCTCTGAAACTATGAGACAAAATAAACGTCTTCTCCAAGTTGTTTTTGTGAGATATTTTCCTCACATTTACAATAAAAAACCATGAGACCCCCTCCATGACGGGGGAGCAGGGACCGAGGGGCTGGGGCGAGGACGTTGGCAGAGACCAGGGCCGTGCACCCAGTGTGCACCCAGCTCCTGAGGGGAGAGCCTGTGGCTGGGAGAGACGAGGGAGAGAGTGCGCTCACTCCCTGCGAGAGCCTGGGAGACGCAGGGTGAGGACTCAGGGTCGCAGCATGCCCGTCCTCACCCACGGGAGACTCCGGGGCTGGTCCCAGTGTGACCGTCGTCCACAACACAGCCTGGTAAAGGCAAGGACAGACGGGCTTGTAACACTGGAAACGTGAGTGAAGGAACTGCCTTTGCTTAGCGAGATCCGAGGCAGCACGGGAGACAGTGGGGAGGTCGGTGCCCGCAGACTGGCGGCAGCTCCCGTCTGCACGGTAGGAAGGCCGCAGCGTGGCAGCAACTCAGAGCATGTCCCCAAACAACAGGAAAGTGAGCTCGCTGTGAGGACAGCAGAGCTGTGACTGCCCAGGGCAGCCGGCCCCTGTCAGCAAGGCAGGTGTGTGGAAGCCAGCACGCGCCAGGTCCGTCTCCAGACACTGTGGCAGACGACGGTGGAAATACCTCCGAGTGCTGGGAAGGGTCGGTCACGGGAGCCAGCAGAGAGGCTGCTGGAGCCTGGGCATGCAGGGGTGTCTGGAAAGACAGCCTCGGTTAGGGTTAGGGTCAGGGTTAGGGTTAGGGTCAGCTGCCCTCAGTCCTGCAGCGCAGACAGTGTGGGACGGCTCCCAGGGTGGAGCGGAGAGCTTCCTCAGGTGCCACACTAACTTTTAGGAAGGAAGTCTTTTGTTTCGTTTTGTTTTTTTGGTACCAGGGATTGAACCCAGGGGCGCTCAACCATGGACCACATCACCAGCCCTTTTTATTTTTCACTTTGAGACAGGGTCTTCCTAATTACTAAGTCACCTAGCTTAGAGCATTGCTAAGTTGCTGAGACTGGCCTTGAACTTGTGATCTTCCTAGCTAGCCCCCTGAGTTGCTGGGATCAGAGGCATGTGCCACCACACCCAGCCAGGAGTTTGTTTTGTGTTTGGGGGTTTTTCTTAGAGCCACAGTAAAACCATGGACAGGAAGGTGGTTGGAGGGGCCGCTCTTGTGGGTGCGCGGTGGAGAGGAGGGAGGTGGACATGCTGAAGGACTGGATTTGGACAGGAAGGTGTGACGGAGGTGGTCGGAGGTGCCCCTGTGGCACGGTTAGGTGGCAGGGTGTGATGGAGCCGGTTGGCCCCCTGAGACTTCCACGAGGACACCTGGGCATGCCTGGGACTTGCTCTCTTGGGGACTTGCTCTCTCGGGACTCGCTCTCACTGGGGCGCTGGACACCCACTCAGAAGCCTTTGCCAGCTGAGGGATGTGTGCATACACCACAGGGGCTTTGGTCCCCCTCCTGGGGCCCACGCGGGCTTGGCACCCTGTAGGAGACGCTTGCTGAGTTTCCTAGAGGTCACCTTTCTGTCTGGATGTGCAGAATGCGTTCTGGAGATCAATCCTTTATCATGTAGAGAGACCCAGCCTGTGGCTGCAGTGCCTCCTGACGGAGGTCGCAGAGCCTGCTGGTCCACGCACATCGTGTCTTCTCTGTGGATCTGTTTTGTGTTTTAACAAATTCACTCTCCGCCACGTTTCCTCCTAACAGACCGGACACTCTGCTCTTCAGTGCAGGTGTTTGATACATAACGTGTGGGGGTGTAATCCAGGGCAGGACTCCAGTCTCACTCTTCTCCACACGAGGACTCTCGTCGTCGCCTCTCATTCACCCGCCTCCTCTTGCTTCTCAGCCGTCTGCTGTGCAGACGCTGGGACACGCTGCCGCCCGCGGACCCCTGCAGGTGCTCTTCACACAGGCTGATCTGGCCTTCTGCTCTTTGAATATGTGATGGGGTCAGTTCCATGAAAAACCCTGCGACTTGAACTGTGAGTTTGAGCACCGCCTTTGTATGGTGAGCCTCTGCATCACGGGCGGGGCCTGGCCTGTTAAGCCTTCAACGACACTGTGGCTTTCCCGGGAAAGGTCACCCAGATCTCGAGAGATTTACTGTAGGTTTCTTGAGCTTTCTGCTGCTACTGTAAATCAAAGCTTCTTTCTTAAAACTACCTTTTCTAATAGCCCTGCAGGGGCACCTCCGAGCACCTCCGTCACACCTTCCTGTCCAAATCCAGTCCTTCAGCATGTCCACCTCCCTCTCCACCGCGCACCCACAAGAGCGGCCCCTCCGACCACCTTCCTGTCCATGGTTTTACTGTGGCTCTAAGAAAAACCCCCAAACACAAAACAAACTCCTGGCTGGGTGTGGAGAGCCGTTTTGGAACAGAAAATTTCTTTCCCAGGTACGTTTCCTGGGAGACTCTCATAGTGCACAGGGATGGCCAACGAAGTGTCCTCTGTGGGAGCAAGAGAGTGAGAGTGGGCTGGGCACTGGGTGCTGCCCCAGGCAGTCCAGTGGCTTCCTGTCCTTGGAAGGTTGCAGAAGGGGTGAGGCCAGCAGGTGCGGGCGGAGCCCAGCCTTGGGCACTGGGCCCTTGTGAAGCCTGGGCCATGCTCAGCACGCCCCGGAAGCCCGCGCAGGCGTCTGGGTGCAGTGGCTCTTAGGGAGGTGGCCTGTGGCCATGGCATTGCTGGTGCCCAGGAGTGGACAGTGCCTGCTACTCATCACGCAGTGCTAGGTGTCTCTTCCTGTCCAGTGTTTCACAGTGAAGGCACCCACTGCAGGTGGGCCACGAGCAGTGTGCAGTGGCCTCGTCACCTGTGTCAGGACCAGGGCAAGCCCACCTGTGGGCATCCTGCCAGGGGAGGGAGGCCTGGAGTTCATGTGGCAGGCTCCTGGCCAGACGGGGCCTGCGCAGCCCTCAGGCCGGGGGTGGGGTGCGTGGGCGTCCAGTGTGTCCAGGACACAGACACAGGGCTTCACGGCCCTCAGGCTGGGGAGGGCGCGGGCGTCCTGTATGTCCAGGATGCAGACACAGGTCTGCACGGCCCTCAGGCTGGGGAGGGCGCTGGTGTCCTATGTGTCCAGGACACAGACACAGGTCTGCACGGCCCTCAGGCTGGGGAGGGCGCTGGTGTCCTGTGTGTCCAGGACACAGACACAGGGCTTCATGGCCCTCAGGCTGGGGAGGGCGCGGGCGTCCAGTGTGTCCAGGACACAGACACAGGTCTGCACGGCCCTCAGGCTGGGGAGGGCGCTGGTGTCCTGTGTGTCCAGGACACAGGCACAGGGCTTCATGGCCCTCAGGCTGGGGAGGGCGCGGGCATCCAGTGTGTCAGGACACAGACACAGGTCTGTGTGGCCCTCAGGCTGGGGAGAGCGCGGGCGTCCTGTGTGTCCAGGACACAGACATGGGGTCACCTGCCATCATTATCTTTGCCGAGGCTTCTTTTTGTGGTGATGTTTGTCTGTATTTATGTAAATAACAAGTAAGTTATAGAAAGGAAATATCTGGTGATTGTCCATACAGAAAGTTTTTATAGTATCGTGTTGCTTGCAGGAGGCTGAGTCAGGAGGATTGCTCTAGCCCGGGAGTTTGAGGCCAGCCTGGGCAACACAGCAAAACCTTGTCTCAAAAAAATGACAAGAAAGAAAGAAAAAGGAAAGAGAAGAAAAGAAAAGAAAAAAAAATGTGACACCACATCTCTTGGAAATCAAGTACTGAAGTGTTTTAAATATTAAAATCTCATATTTGGAGTCAGTGCCTCGCTCTGGGACCCAGGCTGGCCTGGAGCTCCGGGCGCCAGTGCTCTCCAGCCGCAGCCCAGAGTAGCTGGGAGTGCAGGTCTGCCCTGGTGAGCTTGGCTTCCAGGAGCCCCCTGTTTTTGATTATCAAAGCTGTCCCAAAGCTGGCCCTGGTGGTGTACACGTATAATCCCAGCTGCTAAGGAGGCGGAGGCAGGCGGATCGAAAGTTCAGGACAGCCTCCACAACTCAGGCCCCAAGCGACTTAGCAAGACCCTGTCACAAAATAAAAACTCAAAAGGGCTGGGGATAGGGCTCGGGTAAAGGGCCTTGAGTTCAAGCCTTGGTATCAACCAACAGACAAACTGGTTTAAAGTGCTGTGCAAGTGTGCTGAGGCTGCGTGCCGATGGGGCCGCGTGCCGTCGCGGCCAGTGTTGGAGTGCCGTTTTCTCCAGCAGGTGACGTTGACTACAGCACCCTGCTGCTGGGCATGCTGGTGATGCAGGACGTGCAGCTGGGGCTGTTCATCGCTGTCATGCCGGCGCTCATACAGGCGGGAGCAGCCCCGTCCTCCAGGTAAATGTCCTTCAGGTAAATGTCTGTGCACACTTTGCTTTTCTGGCTCCAACGTTTGTTTTTACGATTGCTTCCACGTGCCTTTCCCACAGTAGCGTTTGAGCTGTCATTCAGACTGGCCCACGCAGGCTGCAGTGACTCCATCGCTCCTTGGCTGTGGGATGTGAGCAGTATTTCCTCACTGTCCTCCGCTGGGTCCCTGGCTCATGGTGGCAGTGTGGGGTCCCTACCTCAGGGTCGTGGGGGCACACGGTGAGCAACACGCGTGTGCACACGTGACGTGTGGCCTCGGTTGTCACCATCATCCCCAGTGGAACCCTGCCTTCCTGACTGCGTTTTCCTGGCTCACCACCTGGGGTGAGCTAGGCCAGGAGGCTGCAGGTTGTGCTGTGCCTGGATTCCCAGCAGGAGCACCAGCAGAGAAAGTCCAGCTGGAGGGAGTGGGAGCCACTGAGGCAAGGGCATTGCCCGGGGTGGACACACACTGCCTGGCCTTGGCCAGTGTGCTGCCATTCATGTGTCTGAGCAGCTGTGCCTCGTTGGGCCTGGTAACAGCGGGGCGTCCCTCTGCGGGGAGCCAGTTTGAGCTGTGGGACCTGCCGCAGGCTTGCCCCCCGCCTCTCTGCCTCTGTGCTCTGACTGCTGCCTGGGACCTGGCCTCCGCGTTCCCGGCCTCCGGGCAGCCAGCCGTTTGCCCGCTGGGTGGAGCTGGCGTGGGCTGTAGAAGCCCTTTCTCAAGGTGGACAGGTTTCCCAAGAGTGTCGTGAATGGCGTGGGGCTCTGTCAGAGGCCTCTCCTTGGCCCCACTGGTGTGGTGGTGTGACTTCCTTGTTGAGTGACATGGTGGGCTCTTCTGCTTTTCAAGAGTTGAACCGTCTTGGAAGGAACCCACTTGGTCATGACGTGTCTTAGCTTTTTCTTTGTGTGAACCCTTGGTTGGTGTCCTGAGGCCTTGGGGATCTGAGTCAGAGACTGGGGAGTTCCTGTTATGCACCCTCTGTGGTTTCAGCATGGAGAGTCATCTTAGGTTCATAAGATGATTTGGGAAATGTCCCTTCCTCTTGTGTTTTCTGGAAAACGTTGTACAGAACCAGTGTCCACTCGTCTGCTGGGAGCCCCGCTTCTTTGGACTTCTCCGGAGACAGTCTGCCCAGCCGCTACAGGGTGCCCCCTGCTGTCACTGAGGGGCACTGCAGCCCTGAGGAATGTGCGGGTCCCCTGGGTCACCTTCACTGGTCAGCTTGGAGTCCTCCCTGCTGTGGGCCTTCAGCCACAGCCTGTTTGACGTGTTACTTCCTTTCTGTTGGCTTTGGCTTTATTTGGCTCTGCAGATAGTTAGGCTCCCTCTCAGCACTGTGGGGCTGCATCGTACTTGTGTTGATGTGTCATATTCTTATTTTCATTCAATAAGTGAGTTTTTAAGATTTCCTTCGGGTTTCCCCCTTGGTTCATGGATGTTCAGAGTGTTTGATTTCCTGTTGTCTGTGACTGACTTCTGGTTTGATCCATTGGGATTCCACTAGTAGAATAGGAAAACCTAGGGTAATATTTTGGTCTACCATATAAACTTTTCTTTAGGAAAATCTCTCTTCCCGTTTTAATAATCATGGAAATTCTACAGTAAAATAAATCAGAGAAATAAAATTAGTTATAATGATAGAGACTTTGCTTATGAAGTTTTATTCAGAATTAATCTTGATCTTTCCTAAAGGAAAGGATAATCTCTCTCCCTGCCCAAACATTTCACAGACAAAGAACAGAACTCAGAATAGAAGAACTTCCCCTGGGCTGGGGTTGTGGCTCAGTGGTAGAGCGCTCACCTTGCACACATGAGGTGCTGGGTTTGATCCTCAGCACCACCTAAAGATGAAGATATTGTGTCCACCTAAAACTCAAAAATCAATATTAAAAAAGATGATCTTAAAAAAAAAAGAATTTCCCATAACTAGAATGGGGGAAAGTCGTTAATACTCTCATGGAAGAAAGGGGGTTGTGTATCTAGTCATAAAGATCTCCTGTGCGCTAACAGGAGAGTGGGGACGAGGTATGAGGACCCGATGGCAGGAGTTGTGACAGTGCCCTCCTGGAAGCCGACAGCACTTCCTTCCTGCAGCCTGCAGCCAGAGCATTAGGTGGCCCTCCTGCTCACAGCTCCTGGGGAGGCCGTCTGGGCCTTGGGGAGACCCTGTCTCAACATTAGTAGAACAGGCTGGGACATAGCTCAGCGGTGGAGTGCCCCAGTTCCATCCCAGCATCGCAGAATAAAGAGGGTGGGTGATGCCATTTGGCAGTAGCTCCCAGTGTTGGGGTGGGACTGGGGTGCGCCTGCATGAGGGAGCACCCGCCCGGCCCCAGCAGAGGGAGGCACTTCCCAGAGCACTGTGCATCGGGGGAAGGGAAGGAGCGATGCTCCCGCTTCCCTTGGTGTGCAGCTCACGGTCCTCACAGCTCTGAGCAGAGTGTCCTGGGAGAGGCTGGGGCCACGCAGGCTGGCTCTGCACTGGGCCTCCTGCTCACGGTGGCTCGTGGCGATCAGGAGGCGGCCTGAGCTGAGTCCCGTGGATGGCCATCGCAGAGCTGTGGCTGTGCTCCACCCGGGCACTGCAGCTGGCTCTGCCCATTTCTCATCGGTCAGACAGATGGTGGGGCGGGGGCGAAAGGAGAGAGATGCTGCTCAGGGAGGGAGGTGCCCGTGTCTGGAGGGAGGGTGAATGGATGTCCCGGGGTCAGCCACCCCCGGCAAGTGTCCTGCAGAGGACTGAGGTGGGGTGGCAATGTTGTGAGAGCGGCACCCTCCTGAGACCTACACCAGCCAGCCTGTGACGGAGGCCTGAGAACTAAGCTGGCCAGCCGGAGAGGAGGGCTTGGGTGGCATCCATGGAGGGGCCTGGCGCATAGGCTGCGCCTGGGGGCCCTGTGTGGCTGGCAGGCCGAGGGGAGGCAGGCTGGTGAAGAGGGTGGCTTCCTGTGCGGGGAGCTGGTTCTTGTGCAGAGCCATGGGTCGGGACAGGGTCTTGGAGCATTGAGAGCATTGCCCAGGGCGGGTCCCAGCCAGGCTGGTGGTGGGGAAGATTGGTCAGGACTGGGGCAGTGGAGCAGCCCTTGGGGCAGCCCTGCAGAGGGCTCCCTGGGCTCACAGAGTGGTCTCTGTTGTCTTTCCTGCTTCGAGCCCAGCTCTTTTCTGGCCTCCCAGGTCACTGTGCAGCAGTCTGAGCCTGGCGTCCAGTGCTGGTGCCAGCTGGACTGCAGGGACAGGCCCTTTCTTGTGATGGGACGGTCTCCTCTCTGAGCAGGCCTGGAGGAGGCTTGTCCTGACTAGCAACAGTGAGGTCTGAACCCTGCCACTGTCCCCTGGTGGCTTTCTGTGGAAGCTCTGGGCTAAGTGTCAGTGACCACAGGCCCCCACTGTCTCTGAAGCACTTGGTAAGGACTCCCTGTCCTGCACCCGGGTGTTAGGTGTCAGCTTCAGGAGTATGACTGGGCACTGGGACGTGCTGCTGGAGGTCACCAGTGCTCTCCTGGGGGTCACGGGCCGCCTGCTGAGAGCCTGGGCGCTGACTGCTGGGAGGAGGGTCGTCATCCCTCCGGGGTCCTCACACCTGGGAGACTCGAGTGTCCCAGTGCTGACTGCAAACTGCCCACGTCTGACTTGGATCTGACGCACATTCGTACAGGTCGCAGGTTCATTTTAGTCCTTGGTTGTGTGTGTGACTTGGTCATTTATTCTGTGACGTGCCACAGGAGGAGAGATGGCAGACGTCCCCTGGGTGTGGGTGCAGTAACGTGCTCTTTCCCTTCCAGCGTGGTCGTGGGAGTGCTGCGCACGCTGCTCCTGGCTGGCCAGACCCTCTTCTCCCTGGCTGCAGTCTGTCTGCTGTGTCTCCTCCTAAAGACGTACCTCATAGGACCCTTCTGCCGGAAGCTGCACGTGGAGAGCAAAGGGAACAAGGAGGTTCTCGTCCTGGGCGTGTCTGCCTTCATCTTCCTAATGCTGACGGTAACTCTCACCCCAGCCGTGTCCTTGGGGCCCGCGGACTCTCACTAGAAGCCTGTGGTTGGCCGTTTCATTTGAGTTGTGATTGAAATGTCTAAAATGCACGTCTTTATTTCATGTGGTTCACGGTGCTGGGCCTGAACCTGCTTGTTCCATGCTCACTCCTGGCAGGTGTGGTCAGTGCATGCTGCATTGGCCACCTCTGAGCTTGCGAAAAGCCTTGTGCACGTCTGGCCAGGCCGCTGTCCTGAGCCCTGCCAGCACCCGAGCAGCTGGGCAGCTAATAGCCTTGTGGCATGATGAGGCAGGCCAGTCTCATCTCCTGGCCCAAGTGGGGAGGGTCTGCAGGCCACTTTCAGCCCAGGCTTCTCCTCACTATGAGGGAGTTGTGGGAGGGTTCCTTTGGGCTCCCTGGGTCTACCGGGGACAGCAAGGCAGCACTTGCACTGTCAAGGTCACCCAGTTGCCGCCTCAGGGTTCATCTTGCTGAAGAGAAGACCAGTCACTTAGAAATGGTGCAGGAGTGTCCACGACAGGTTCACTTGAAGTAGCCAAAAACTGTCCTGATGTCTTTTAGGGTGAATGACAGGCCGCTCCCAGGAGCCCCTGTCTGGCCCACCAGCTGCTGCTATGTGTAGCCTGGGGCTTGCCGGAGAGCTGGGCTGCATACTGCCCCAGAGTGTTTAAGTAGCAGGCGGGCAGCGACGGTTTGGACATGAGGGAGGGTCAGGGCAGCCAGGAGTGGCGGAGGGCGCCCGGGGTCTGCGCTGCAGGCTCAGGTGCTGCTGCGGCACTGCCCTCGTCCTCAGAGCCTCCCGTGAGCACAGCATGCTTCAGGGTCACAGGTGAGAGCCAGCTTCACTTGCTCATGCGCACTGTGTGCTGTCATTCAGGGAGGGGACCGAGCGCATGTGTGCTGGCAGCTGCTCGCGGTGCCGCTCTGTGCTGGAGGCTTCGTGGCACACGCCATGGGGCCTCTGCCTAGCACGCGTGTGGCTGTGACTGGCTGCTTTCCACTGCCTTGTGCATCCAGGGCTCTGTCCTCTCAACCTGTCGCTAGGCTGTCTGCTCTGGGCTCCTCCATGCTGCCTCCCGGTGCCCACATCCAGGTTCACGGTTCTCGTCCTGCCTTGCCCTTGGCTGGCTTTCTTCCTTCGTTGGCCATCTGGACAGCACCTGCTGGGCTCCTGCCGCCAGGTGCTCAGTGTTGAGGTGCAGCCCAGGGGTCCTGGGGGAGCTTCCCGCGGGCTGCACTAGGTGAGTGCACGGCCACTCTGCTGCGGGGCGGGGTTTGTGCCACTGGGGCTGCGGTGAGTCCAGCTGCGTGCTGTTCAGCAGGGTTCTCTTCTGGATGAGCACAGATTGGAGGTGGAGCTGCTGGTCGGTCCCAGAGCACAACTGACGCCATCACTGCAGGTTTCCCAGAGTGACTGCCACCAGTGTCCCCCAGTGGGAGCTGCCCATCCCGCGTCCCTACCCACGTGGCATTGTTTCTCTGGTTTTGTCCTCTGCTGACACCTGCATCTCTGTTGTCCTCAGGACTGCTGATGTTGCACACCCACTGGGCACCAATGAGCCGAGTAGACACCTGCTGGGGTTCCAGGGAGCCATGCGGGCACCCACTGGGGCACTGGAGAGCCATTGGGCACCTGCTGGGGCACTGGGGAGCCGTGCAGGCACCCGCTGGGGGCACCGGGGAGCCGTGCGGGCACGTGCTGGGGCATGAGGGAGCCATGCAGACACTCACTGGGGTGCTGGAGAGCCATTTTGGCACCCGCTGGGGCACCAGGGAGCCGTTTAGACAGTTGCTGGGGTGCTGGCGTGTCTGGGCACCTGCTGGGGTGCCCGGGAGCTGGGAGCCAGGGAGCTGTCTGGGCACCTGCTCAGGCACGGCAGAGCTGTGTGGGCACCTGTTGAAGTCTTTGGGTTGTTTCTCTCTGCAGTTGTGATTTTCCTCCACATCTGTGGGGACGTGCGTGTGGCCCAGTGTGGCTGTGTCTGCTCTGTGTGCTGGCCTCATCTGTGGTGTGGAGGTGTCTGTGCCTCATGCCTGCCCTGGCCACTCTGCAGCCGTGCCCTACCTGTGCACACTCGTGTTGGTGGGTTTGCTGATAGATGAGCTGCACTCCAGCGTTAGTTGTCGAGTGTTTTCTTTAGCAGGTCATGAGAGGCTCTGTGTTGTCCTCCAGCTCCATGGCCCTCTGAGAGCTCAGTGCTGGGTGTGCGCTGCTCAGGGACTTGATGCACCTGCCCTGGATGACGCGTGTCGACCCGTGACCGTCATCATGGATTGTGGCTGTGGGCGTCCTGCTGTGTGGTGGGCACGTGTTTGAGAGCGTGAGCCTGCGTGTGTGTGGGAGCGCTCGTGTGCTGTGTGTGTGTGTGCGCCTCGTGGCTGTGTGTGCTGTGCGTGCCTGTGTGGTGAGCACGTTTCTGCTTCCACCATGCCTGGATCTGCCTCCTGTGCTCATCTCTGGTGGCTGTGGGCCAGAGGATTCTGTGTGGTCATCACACGGGGCAGTGTGGTGTCTAGCCCTGACACGTCTGATTGGTGCTATGCCAGGCCGTCGGGCTGTGGGGAGGTGTGTGCCTGCAGCTTGGCCGTCTGCTGGGCCTGCTCCCGTGCGGGAGTCCCGCCGCGCCTCTCGCCAAGGCTGTCCCAGCTTCCCGTCTCGTAGCCAGGTGCACCCTGCTCTGGCGACCTGCTGCTGCATCCTTCCGAGCTCTGTGGGCGCTCCTCTTCAGGGCCCTGGTGAGTGGTGTCTGTCTTCTCCTGTGGTTGGAGGTTGGTGACAGGAATCCATCTGCTAGTGTCACAGTCCGGCTGTTCATTGTTTCAGGTAAAGGAAATGCAATCACAAATGCTAAAAATAAATGTTGAAAATTCTTTTGTCCAGAAGTCCCACGGCTTCTGCGCGAAGTTTCCCTACCCGTGTTAGTTAGGCGCCGGGAAGCCCGTGTCTGAGCTGCCGTGCGGGGCAGTGCCATCCTCACTGTGCACCTGGTGGTGTGTCTGCATGTGAACGTCCCAACAGTCGGTGCTGTGTTCCCGTCAGACGTTGTCTCCTCTGTCACCTAGGTCACAGAGCTGCTGGACGTGTCCATGGAGCTGGGCTGCTTCCTGGCCGGAGCTCTGGTCTCTTCCCAAGGCCACATGGTCACTGAGGAGGTCATGGCCTACCTTGAGCCCATCCGCGACTTCCTGGCCATCGTCTTCTTCGCCTCGATAGGTAACGTGCCTGCTGTTGGTCGTGACTGTTGTTAAGCACTTGCGGATACTTCCACGAGCGTTGGTGTGTGAGCAGTCTCTCCAGAGCCTGAAGGAAATCGGACGTAGAAAGGGGGAGGCGACAGGCTGGCTGGGGCTCAGGTGGAGCGCTTGTCTAGCACGCGTCAGGCCCTGGGTTTGATCCTCAGCACCACATAAAAACAAATACCATGAACGTATTGTGTCCAACTACAACTAAGACCAAAAAGAAAGGGGGAGACAGGCAGAAAGATGTGCCCATGCACATCTTCTTGTCTGCAGGTACCGTGGTGGTTACAGGTCTGGGAGGGCCATCTCCTGCTGTCCCCACGCAGCCTGCAGGGGTGAGCTTTGTGCTCACCGCCCCAGCACCCTGAAAATTCCAGGAACTCTATGGGCCTTCCCCTAGGTGAGTTGTTAAGACTAAACCCATCATGTCCAGGGGGTTGCTCTGGGACCTCCAGTGGCTGGTTTGGAGAAGTGGCTCAACTGACAGGGCTGCCTGGGCTGCAGAAGGCCTGCCATGTCCCTGGCCTCTCTCCCTTTGGTGATTATTGTCCAAGACACTTGTGCAGTCTATGTGGGTCCGTAGGTCCTGCTGCCCCAGGGAGATGTGGAAACTGACCTGGAGCTGTACGTGGACATGTGAGGGGCCAGGCATAGCCACTTCCGTCCCAGGGAGAAGCAGAGGAGCCCAGCCTTTCACCAGAGGGGAGGGAGATCTTTGGCCAGTGGGGTTGGGGAGCTGGCGCTCTTCGGTTCCCGGGAAATGGGCCCAGAGCAGGGAGGCCATGGAGAGCCCCGACGGTGGCTCTGTGGTCCTTTTCCCTTGGCCCTCCCGCCTGTGCTTCTGTACTCAGGGCCCACCTGTGACACCCGCTCGGCATGTGCAGTGGACCCTGCCATTCCCCCTCCGCGGGGCAGGGTCTGAGGAGATGGACCAGGCTGCGAAGGCACTGGGAAGAGGGCCCGTGGGTGTGGAGCTCCGGCTCTGGAGCCTGGGTCCGTCCCTGGACAGGGCGTGCCGCGCCCTGCCTGGCCTCCCCCGCGTTGTGAGGGACTCAGGGTGCGTCTGTGCTTGTGGTGGTCAGCTTGGGCTGTCCTGACAGAGCCCCTGGACTGGGCTGCTCCAGCCACAGAGGTCTCTTTCTTTCTCTAAGTGTCTCTCTCTGTCTCTTTTTTTTTTTAACTGTTAACTAAGCTTTATTTGACAGAAAGTTTACTATGAAGGCGTATGTGGCTCCCCTGCCTCTCTTCCTCTTCCAAGGCCACAGCCTAGTGAGTGACCCCCCTCGGTCACCTGGTTACGTCCTCAGGCCTCACCTCCAGACACCCCTGGTAGGGCCCCAGCTGGAGTGTGAGACTCCGTTCAGTCTGGGGCCTGGGGCAGTGCAGACCGCGTGGCCCACGAGGCAGGAAGACCTGGCCACCCAAACTCTGGAGCGGGCTGCCGGCCTGCTGCTCCACTGCCACGGCCACTTCCTGCCAACGATTCGGCGCTCATTCTTAGGAGATTTTCAGCAATAACTTCATCCCCTGCCTGACCCACCTCCCTGAGGGTTCCGGAGCAGGCCCTGCAGGTTTTGGTGGGACGGAGAGGTGTCTCGTGGTTGCTTGTCACTTCCTGGGGGGACCCGGCTTGAGCACCAAGGCCCTTGCCCACCTGGATGTCTGTGGCCTTGGTGCTGGCGCAGCGACCCTGAGGGTGGTATTCATCCACCCCACAAGCCCACGTGGAAGACGCCGGGCCTGAGAGGCTGAGCGGTGTAGTTAGGAAGTGGAGGGTCAGGCTGGGCAGAGTCATGGGTCCCCTGTGGCACACATGGTGTTTGGTGTTTGTCATGAGAGTCAGTGACACCAGATGGGAAGTTGTGGCCTGGCTTGCTTGCCTTCCTGCCTGTCGAGCGAGAGTGATGTGACACCCAGTGGCAGGGTCCCAATTTCTCATGATCCCCAGAGCTGCCATGCTGATGTCGTGAGCCGAATGCAGGGCAGGGTGCCAACCAGGGGGTGTTGCCTCCTGGACAGCGTCCACAACAGCTGGGCCTGCATGGGACAGGGTCTGCCAGGGAAGCCGGCGGCAGCCAGGCAGAAGCCAGGGTGTTCACCAGGCCAGAGGCAGGAGCCCAGGCATCCTGGGGGTGGACAGGCTCTGGGAAGAGCTGGGGCACTGGGGGAAAGCAGACCACAGCGCCCATCCCGGTCCTACAGAGCGGGAGCAGCCAGTGCACACAGGGCCCCGGGGACAGGCTTAGGACCGGCCCTGGGAAGGGCACCCTCGAGAAGGGCCTGGGTGTGCAGTCAGCAGAGTGCAGCCCAGTGGTGGGGGAGGCATCTCTGGGTTTCAGGAGGGAGGAGGCCTTCACGATGCACTTCCAAGGAGACCCAGGTGGGCTGTGGGTCTTGACTCCCGAGGTCTTGGGTACAGTGCTCCCCTTGGGGGACGGTGGGGCTGCCCGCAGGTGGAGCTGGAGTTCACTCCCTGCTGCCGCCTGTCCTCTGGCCGTCCCTAGGCAGTGCACAGCAGCAGCCCTGCAGGAGTGTGGAGCAGGGAGGTGTCAGGAAGACCTCCGTGTGGCCTCAGGGGACGAGCAGGGGCAGCCCGACTGGGGCTGGCAGTAGACACAGGACTGTGGCCCCCCTGGGTCCGGCTGCCCACTTGCAGAGGCAGGGCCACACACCCAGGTCTGGGAAGGCCCGTGCAGGGACCCCACCCCCCGTGTGGCAGGAAGTGGAGTGGTCACCCTACTCCCTCTCTCTGGGAGAGGGAGAGGGCTCGGTCCAGGGTGGTCAGGGGACTTAGGTTGTGGCTCTGTCCTGCTGGAGCAAGGGGAGAGTCAAGGGCTGGCTGGGCCCAGGCATCCCTGGGCTCCCCTGGGCTCACCTGGGCTGTCTCCCGCAGGGCTGCATGTGTTCCCCACCTTCGTGGTGTACGAGCTCACGGTGCTGGTGTTCCTCACCCTGTCGGTGGTGGTCATGAAGGTACTGACACTTCTTGCTGTACTTCACTCCCTGGGAGGCCCGCTGGGACAGACCCAGGGTGACCTGGAGCCTGCCTCCAAATGGAGGGGTTCACACGGGGGAGTTGCTGGAGGGTGAGGTGGGGAGCACCCATCCGAGTTCCTGTGAGGCTCTGCTGACGTGGTCTCGCTGGGGATGGGTCTGCAGGACCCCAGGCCCCTTCTGACAGAGGCAGACGCACTCAGAAGTGAATGCTGGGAGTTGACCAGGCTTCCCGCATCTGTTCTCTGGGTCACTTGTTGATATTTCATAACATCCTGTGCAAGTTGGGTGCAGAATCAGATGGTGGCAGAGCAGCCTCACTGGGCTGCTGGGCTGCTCACTGAGAGAGGTGCCCCCTCTCTTAATCAAAGCATCTCCATCTTAGACGCTACTCAACCTTAAATGCTGTTGATTTGGTTTGGGGAAAGGTGTACTTTCTGCTAGTAAACCTGAGCATCCTCTTTCACCTTCATGGGCTGCCTAGCCTTGCGGCAGTTTGTGTCATTGCTGTGTTCTGGGGACCACAGAGCCTCTAGTACACCCTGCTTGGCCACTCGAGGCTGTGGCAGCCTTTGATGCTTCCCATCTAGGTTCTGTGTTTTAATTTTTTATTTTTTGTTACTGGGGATTGAACCCAGAGGCACTTACCCACTGAACCCCATCCCCAGCCCTTTTTGGTTTTTAGAGACAGGGCCTCACTAAGTTGCTTAGGGCCTCACCAGGGCTGAGGCTGGCTTTGAGACTGCAGTCCTCCTGCCTTAGCCTCCCCAGTCTCTGGGATTAGAGACATGCCACCATGCCAGCTGAATGTGAGATCTCACTGGGCTTAGTAACACGAGCTGTGCTCTTGCAGTTTGTGTTGGCAGCACTGGTCTTGTCTCTCATCCTGCCAAAGAGCAGCCAGTACATGAAGTGGATCATCTCTGCAGGGCTGGCCCAGGTCAGCGAGTTCTCCTTTGTCCTGGGGAGCCGGGCGCGGAGAGCAGGCATCATCTCCCGGGAGGTGAGTGGTTACTGTCCCTCAGGCGCCAGCAGCTCTTTCACCACGCTCCTGTCTGTGCTGGGGGATCTCCGGGGTCCCTCCTCCCCAGCACGTGTGGCGTCTCAGGTGAATTGCCAGGTCGCACTTCCTGAACTGCTGCCTTTGACCGTTGCTGATCTGTCTGGGAATGGGCAGCAGGATCCTGCCCTTGAGGCTGAGCTGCTGGATGCGCAGGAATAGCACACAAGAGGCCTAAGCCTTGTACTTGACCCACTGAAGGCTGCCGTGAGGTCAGAATCAAGCGTCTGATGTCCCCTGAGTGTGAGGAGCACAGGAGTCTTCCTTCAGAGTGTACTAGAAAAACGGAACTGTCCCAGGGACATTGGGCAAGTTGGTGTGACTCAGGTGGCCCGTGGGGCTCACCCTCACGTAAGCAGAGGCTCAGTGCCTTGAGTCTTTCTTCCCATGTCCAATGTCCTCACCTGTGGCTCTACTTGAGGTGCCCTGAAAAGATAGAGAGCGCTTGGTTTGCAGAGGTCCCTGTAGTGCTGGGTGTGACTCTGCCCAGCCTCGCACCCATGTGGGGATCCCCTTAAAGCTCACTGTGACATGTGCTGTGCTCACCTGTGTTGCAGGTGTACCTCCTTATACTAAGTGTGACCACACTCAGCCTTCTGCTGGCCCCTGTGCTGTGGAGAGCTGCAATTACAAAATGTGTGCCAAGATCGGAGAGGCGGTCCAGTCTCTGACCATGCTGGGTGTTGAGCAACTCTGGGACGACCTCTGGAGGAAGTGTGCGCTGGTGTCAGCCGGAGTGCCGTCAGCAAGGAGCAGTGTCCTCCTGTCTGCCTGTTGGCACAGGCTCCTGTTGTTGCGGAAGTTCCTGGCATGACTGTCTTGCACTTGTGCACAGTAGGACTGAGGCACTGGCTCATAGGTGCCTCCACTGTTTTGCCTCTATGTGCCTTTTTTTCTGAAGTTATTATTAATTTCTATTGTTAATTCATCAGTTCGTTATTTTTTGTAAAGAAAAAAAAATTAGGAAAATTTTTATTGTGCAACTTTAGAATTACAATCTGTTAGTCAACTACTTGTTATTAAACCTGTCTGTGCTGAAATCTTAATTCTGGCAGTGAGTCTGGAAGCTTACTTTTACCCTTTTTGTTTCCTAGGTGAGATGAATATTTTATAGATGTCTGTATGCCTCTTAGCTATTTATTTGTTTGTTTGTTTGTTTATTTATTTATAGTGCTGGGGATTGAACCCAGGGCCTTGTGCATGCAGGGCAAGCACTCTACCAACTGAGCTATATCCCCCAACCCTGCTGTTTTATTTTATAAATAAAAATATTTGGGGGGGGTGGGGGTACCAAGTGTTGAACTCAGGGGCACTTAACCACTGAGCCATATCTCCAACACTTTTTATTTTTTATTTTGAGGCAGGGTCTAGCTAAGTTGCTTGGGGTCTAGCTAAGTTGCTGAGGCTGGCTTTGAACTTGTGATTCTCTTGCCTCAGTTTCCCAAGTCGCTGGGATTACAGGTGTGCACCACCACGGCTGCCCTTTTAGCTATTTTAAATGAAAACACTTCCATGTCAATCACTATTAGGTATATCACTCTTAAAATATTTGATTTTGAATCATAAGAATGTTCATTCTTCAATAAAGGTCAGTTATGATCAGGGTATAATTAGTTGAAATTTATTGAGAATCTGTTTTGATTTTTGTGTTGAGCTAATCTTTGCATAAAACCTCAGCTAATTTCTAAAATGGTTTGTACATTGCCTTGCTGTTCTCCGAGGATGGAGCGAGTGCAATACTGTTTGAAAAGCTGAGATTCTGACTTCTGGTATGTTGTCAGGTGCCCACTGATGGAGGCCTGACACAGGAACCCCACAGGGCCCTGTTTTAGTCCATTTCAAGGTGCATAACAAGACCTTCCTAAGGCTGGGTGCGGGAGTTCATTTCTGTGTGTGCAGCTGGGAGGTCCAGGTCCAGGTGGGGATACTGTCTCTGCACTCCCAGGACGGTGCCTGAAGGCTGTGTCTTGGGGGAGCAGCTGGGAGATCCGCTCCCATGAGCCCTTCCTGTACCGCAGTCCCCTGGCAGGGCGGGGCGCACCTCTGCATCTGAGCAGGTTCTCTCTTCTTTCGGCTGCACAGGTATTTGGTAGAAAGATGGATCGTGTGTGCCCTTCACGAGGAAAGCTGTTGTGGGGGCAGTTTTCCTCTGCACATTGGCTCTAGGAGCTGAACGGTTCTGCCAGCGGCCTTGAAGGAGACGGTGGCCCCATGTGCTGTGTTGAGGATGTCCGTCAAACCGTGGGGAAGTAAGCTGAAGCAGGACACGTCTGGTCTGAAGCGACCCATGGAAAGCTGATAGAGAGGTGTCTGTGGAAAACGGCTCTGGTCTCCCTCACTGCCGCCTGATGCCACCCTGCTGGCTTCCCCCCCCAGTGTCTGGCGTTCTGCCGAGAGTGTTGGCCCTGCCACCCATCTTGGGTGTCCACACTGAGGAAGCCCAGGACAGGACAGCTGTTTAGGGAGAGGGTGGACCAGGAGGCCTGCACTAAGACCTGGAGGGCAGAGTCTCCAGAGTGACCACCCTGTGTCCTGGAGCAGGGGTGGCTCCAGGAGGCCTGGGGACTGGGATCCTGTGTAGTGAACTGAGTGTTTCCTGTGAGTGACCTGGAGAGAGAGGGGCAACGGGGTCAGGGGCAGCATCTGGGGTCTGCAGGAGAGAAGTAGAGATGGGCTGTGCTGTCCAAGGGAGCAGTCACCAGTAGGGAGCATCAGGGTTTCAGAGTAAAGGTTTTAAAAGAGGCAGCCCCGTCAGGCGGTGCAGCTCTGGCGAGCGGCAGACTCGGGTGTTCCCAGTCAGTGGTGCCCAAGAGGCTGGGTGCTGGCGGGAATGGAGAGAACTTCCGCAGCCTTCTCCGGCTCGCACCCCTGGGATGGCCGGCTGTGGCCTGCTCTGGACGGGCTGGGTGACGTGGAGCTGAGGATGTAGACTTGGGCCTCAGGTCTCAGGGTTGGTCCTGGGTGGCCAGGGGACAGAACCAGCAGACCAGTTTTCCTGAGGTTTGTTTCATGAAAGGCAAAACATTTGAATCCCCTGTTCAGATGGGGGGAGGGGAGATGGGTTTGTGCAGAGGAAGGTCTGGGAGGAGCCAGGAAGGGGCACAGCTGTTCCCTGGATTTCTGAGTGGGGGTGGCAGAAGGATGAAGTGGCCATGGCTCCTTCCTGCTGGATGTCTCGGGCTCAGTGGCCGTGCCCTATATGTCAATCAGCTTCATCACTGTGACCAAAATACCTGGCAAGTCACCTAGAGGAGGAAAAGTTTGTTTGGGTTCACGGTTTGAAGGGATGTTGTCCCTGGCCATCTACTCTTTGCTCTGGGCCTGAGGGAAGGCCGACTTGGTGGATGGGTGGGGCAGAGGAGGCTGCTGGGCACATGGTGGTGGGGAAGCAGGGAGCAAGGGAGAGAGGAGGAGGGAGGGAGGGGCCGGGGCAAGGTGAACCCTGGTTTCCACTCCTTCGGACAGCTACGTACGTCGCACAGTCTCCACAGCTCTGGGGTCCAAACAGCCATCGATGGGTCAGTCCACTGGTGAGGTTGGAGCCTAAGGACCAAACACTTCCCACAGCCCCCCTCTGGACTCTGCTACACTGGAGACCAAGCTCAGGCTGCTGTTCCACTGGAGCCAACTGAGCTGCACACACATCACCAAGGAGAGGCTCAGGTTTCCTGTGAGTGGACCTGGAGTTGGAGTGTCCCAGCAACTGGGGACACTCCAGGTCCACTCCAGGTCCACTCAGAGAAAACCTGCAACTGTGAGAAACAGAGAGCCCGAGTTCCTCCTCCAAGGCAGTGTGTAATCAGCTCA